TCTGGGAGTGGGCCCAGCAATATGGTCTCCTAAACCCCCTAGGGAATTTTGATGCGCACTACACTTTGAGAACCACTCTTCTGGGTAATATACACAGATGAATGATGAAGCAAACAAGACAGTATTCCAGGTGAGTTTACATTCTCATGGAAGGACCAAACAAGTACACAGACAACCACTTGGTTACCATTGTTAAAATAACGAAAGTCACCCTGGGGCAGGAAAAGGGACACATGAGCCCAGCCAGTGTGGCTCAGTGGTTGAATGCTGTCCCATGCAACAAGAAGTTGCAGGTTTGATTCCCAGTCAGGGCACATGCCCAGGCTGTGGGCCCGGTCCCCAGTGAGGGACATGCAGGAGGCATCCAACTGATGTTCTCTCTCATTGGTGTTTCTACCTCTCTCCCTTTCCCTTCCTCTCTATAAAACAAAGAAGGATAAAAAAAAAAGCGTGCACATGAGCACAGAGCGCAGATCTGGAAGAGAAGTTAAATATGATGAGAAAGGATCCCAGTCTTGAGGAAGTGCAGAAACACTGAGGTCAGAACAAACTTGTTGAAGGAACAAAAGTACAAAGTGCTTACAGTGTGAAATCGTTAAGTGATGAAGTCAGTGACAGCCAAGAAGCCAAAACATGGAAAGCCTCGTAGACTACGGTAAGAAGTTCATATTTTACATCGATACAGACAACAGGTGGAACCAGAGTGGAAAGGGGAGGTGGGGAGAAGACAGAGAGGGTCAAGAGGATCAAACATATGGTGACAGGAGACCAGGCTTCAAGCGGTGAACACACAGTAGAGTATACAGATGTTGTATTAGAAAGTTATAACACCTGAAATTTATATAAAGTCATTAACCAATGTTATCCCAGTAAATTTAATAAAAATAAGTTCAGATTGTAAAGTGCAATCAATGGAAAGCCACTGGAGGCCATTGATATGATCTGATTTTTTATTTTAAAAGAGGATGCTGGTTGCTATGTGAACAATGGATTATATGGGTCAAGAATAGAAGCAAAGAAACAAGTTAGGTGGCTACTGTAATAAGCTAGGTGAGAGATGATGGTGCCACAATTAGGACAGGGCATCTCTGAAGGAGCTGTCATTTAAGGTAAAATCAACCTCACCATTCTGGGTTTACTGGTTAGGTTGTTTTTTCACATTCCAGGCTTGGCTCCTTTTGCTAATATTGCCTTCCTCTTTAATAGCAGGTTAGCAAGCAATAGCCAGGAGACATTAATGACCCAGTTTTTGTCAGAGCCTCAGTTTGCACACCACCAGCAGCACTGTGCAGACACAATTTCAGATCGATCCTTCTTAGACCTGAGCAGCTCCTTTTTTCTCCCAATCTCTTAGTACTGTCTTGGTCTCATCTACTTTACTTTCCAACCATGATGGAAGCAAGAGCCTTCATCACCTCGTGGATTGTATGCACAGAGTTTATCCCACCTGCAAGCTGATCTGTTGATTCTTCGTGAACATAATTTATCAGAGTTTCTCTCCTTTCTCCCTGCCTTTGTTTGGAAAGCACAGTTTCTCATTTAGTTCATACTGCAACTTCCCAACTGGAGCACTGGGCTCAGAACTTGACTCCTTCCAATCCACCCTCCAACCCAAACTCTGGCCATTTCTAAATGGTGAATCTCATAGTGCAATCTCCCTGTATATAATCATTTGGTAGCTTCCCAACACATTTAAGATAAAATCCCAACTCCTGGTCGTGAGTGTGTGGACCATGAGTGGTGAACCTTTTCAGATAAACTATGGCTAGACCTTACAGAATAAGTGGAAAAGGTAGATAAATGCTGAAAAGAGAAAAGAGAACGTCCCAAAGGAGCTTAGCAGACTTAAAAGTATTCTTAAGTGGCCCTGGCCGGTTTGGCTCAGCGGTTAGAGCATCAGCCTGCGGTCCAGAGAGACCAGGGTTCGTTCCCACTAAGGGCATGTACCTCGGTTGCAGTTTGTCCCTGGCCCTGGTTGGGTTGTGTGGGAGGCAGCCACTCAATGTGTCCCTTTCACATTGATGTTTCTCTCTCTCTCTCCCTCCCACTCTATCTAACAGAAAATGAAAAAATGTCCTCAGGTGAGGATAAAAAACAAACAAACAAACAAAAGTATTCTTAAGTAGATAGTGACGTGTTGTTGTTTTTTTCAGATTTTTTATTGATTCTTTTTTTTAGAGAGAGGAAAAGAGAGGGAGAGAAACATCGATGTGAGAGCTAGACATCAATCGGCTGCCTCTTACATGCTCCCTACCGGGGATCAAGTCTGCAACCCAGGCATGTGCCCTAACCAAGACAACCTCTTGGTGCATGGGACGACATCCAACCAACTGAGCCACATTGGCCAGGGCAATACTGATATTTTAATGAAAGATGTTCAAGAAATAGCAACGGTTGTGATCCCCAAACATTCTGAAGAGAAAACCCAGTATGTGGTGAAAGATGAAAAAGACAACATAAAAACGGAGACTGATATTAAGAGAAACAGAGTAGACTAGAATGCACAGTACCCAATATGGATGAACCAGAGTCAAAGAAAAAGCTGAAGGCAAAGCAAGAAAAAGGGACGGGGAAAGCAGTAAAGGTGGCAAAGGGCTTGGCCTGATACACCTTTTCACTTTATTTTTTTGTTAATCTTCACCAGAGGATATTTTTCCATGATAGAGTGGAAGGGAGGGAGGGAGAAAGAGAGAGAAATATCAATGTGAGAGAGACACATTGATTGGATGCCTCCTGCATGATCTCAACCAGAGCTGGGGATCGAACCTGCAACCCAGGTACATGCCCTTGAGTGGGAATTGAACCCATGACCCTTCTGTCTGAGGGCTGACGCTCTAACTGCTGAGCCAAACTGGCCAGAGCAGCCTGGTACACCTTTAAATCTTGAAAAATGCCACCTGAGACAGATCTTTGATTAGAACGTATACACTGATTTCAGCTTCACCAAATGAAAATTGTTTACTTTTTTTTTTTTTTTATCCTTACCTAAGGATATTTTTGCATTATCTTCAGATATAGTGGGAGGGAGAGAAGGAGGAAGAGAGAGAGAGAAACATTGATGTAAGAGAGACACACTGACTAGTTGCCACCCACACGACCCCAACAGGGGCCAGGGACAAGCTGCAAATGAGGTACGTGCCCCTAGCGGGAACTGAACCCAGGTCTCTCTGGTCCACGGGCCAGCGTTCTAATCGCTAAGCCAAACCGGCCCGAGCTGTTTACATATTTTAACTGGGCCTTTTTCTTCAATTCAAACTGAACATAACTCCTCAAATTTGTTTCAGGAACTTGAATAAAATACTTTCTTTGATGAATGAAAGCTATACTGATATTTTAATTGGATGCAGTCTGAGATGTAGGGAGGATTATCAGACACAAAAATTCTGTCAAGTATTAATGTGTTGTGGTTGTTTTGTAAAGATAAATGATATTATACTAACTCAGATTTAAAGAAGCTAATTATATGGTGTTATTTTAAAATATAATGTCAGTGGATCTTATAAGTAATACTTGTTTGGAGTTTTGATTTTATATAATTCATAATAAAAGGTATTAAAAAAAAAAATCCTAACTCCTTAGCATTTCAGGATCTGGCCCTGTTCACCCAACTGCCCTCATCTCTTACCGTAACTCCCAACACAGCTGGTGTTCTGACCACCCCAACTTACCCCCCACGCCCGGTTCCCTGGACCTGACATGCTTCCTCTCTCCCCCTGCCATTCTTCACTTGGATAAATTCCTGGTTGTACTGTGGGACTCTGCTCTTGGCTCAGGGCTTGCTCCTTCAAAACCCTTTTCTCCCTCTCTTCATTCTCACCATGCATGTACAGCTGTCACTGCACATATCCATACTGCATGGAAATCGTGCGTCGCCCTAGCAGTAGTCGGGTCTCGGCAACTTTTCCACCAGTTTCTCCAAAAGCAGAAAAATACAAAGTACCTGAAGGGAAAGAATATGTTGCCTGCAGCAAATCAATCTAAGCAAAATACTTCTCTCGAGTTCCAAGTTTCATTTTAAAAACTCAGGAGGGCCCTGGCCGATTTGGCTCAGCGGTTAGAGCGTCGGCCGGTGGTCCGGAGAGACCCGGGTTCGGTTCCCGCTAAGGGCATGTGCCTTGGCTGCGGTTTGTCCACGGCCCTGGTTGGTCGTGCTGGAGGCAGCCACTCGATGTGTCCCTTTCACGTCGATGTTTCTCTCTCTCTCCCTCCCCCTCTATCTGAACAAAAATAGAAAAATGTCCTCGGGTTATTAAAAAAAAAAAAAAAAAAAACTCAGGAGGACCTCCTGCTGGGTTTTTTCATCCATAATGTATGGTTGTGTTTTTCAATATAAAAATGTCATGTCCAAATGTTCAAAAAGACAGATGGTACACTCCAGAAAAATCTTCTACTCTGTCCTGTTTCACCTCTAGCAAAGCACCAATATTCTGGGTGGAGAAAAGCAATGGTTAAAGCAAAACAAGAAGAGCTAAACAGTTATTCAAAGGTTTTAGAAATTTAGTTCCTATCTATATGAAAGGAAGTATACCTTTTCATTTTTAAAAACTTCAAACCAAGATTAATAAAAAACACTGAGCCCTGGCCGGTTTGGCTCAGCGGTTAGAGCGTCGGCCTGCGGTCCTGAGAGACCCGGGTTCGGTTCCCGCTAAGGGCGCGTACCTCAGTTGCAGTTTGTCCCCGGCCCTGGTCGGTTGTGCGGGTGGCAGCCACTCGATGTGTCCCTTTCACATCGATTTTTCTCTCTCTCTCTCTGTTCCTCTCTCTCTCTCCCACTCTACCTGAACAAAAAATGGAAAAATGTCCTCGGGTGAGGATAAAAAATAAAAAAAATAAAAATAAAAAAAATAAAAAACACTGAAAACACATTTTAAGGTAAACTCAAAGAGATCAGAAAGTGGTATTTGCTATCCCCTTACTAGAAAAGTTTTTAAATAAAATGTAGCATAAAGTTGATGACCCCATTTAAGACTGAATTTTAATAAACAGGCCTATTAGCATCACCCTATTTCACTTTTTCCGCCTCCCACGTCAGAGAGAAATCACACTCTTAAAAGATTTCAGCTTTTATTAAATGAGGACTTTATTATTATTATTTTTAAAACATTACAAACTCTCCTTTTCTGATAAGGTAGATCTTACACTCAAAAACAATCTTCAACCATTTTTTAAAAAGATATTGAAGGAGAAATCCATTGTTTATGAACAAGATTTTACAGTAACAATGGGAGGAAACCAATACATTTCACAACCTAAAGTGGTTCAAACTAAGTATCTAGAGCAGATTATAAAATCTGAAAGGTGACATAAACTGGACAGTTATGAAAACTGCTCATAATGCAGAAAATGGCTCTGACAGTCTAGAACAAATGCTTGCTTTGCATTGTGCCTCAGAAGGCATCTTCATTAAGGTACACCAGGACATGGCAGCTTCCCCTCCTCCCAGTCTTTTGTACAAATCATTAAGGCAAGTCTACAAAGGACCAGTAAGGCACAGGGGTACAGCAGCTGACCGAAGGAAATCTATGTAACTTCCTGTAGTCTAATATCTAACAGCCTTTAATGCAGACACCAGTGTGGCAACTCTGTGGTTTGTTTTATTTTGTTTTTTTTTTCAGCATTAACCTGCACCTAAACCACAAGAGGTCACTTCAAGTCACTTCAGTGGAATAAACAATACTTCACTGCATTGCTAGTGAAAGAAGCAATGCCAAGCACTAAAAAGATTTAGAAGCAGATATAAAGGAAAAAGCCCTCTGGTTTAGACTTATAAGCTGAATGTCTTTGACTCTCCAAGGAATACCATTTTGGCTTGTGAAATTATACCAATTAATCAGGACTCTTCTACATTTCCATTATTGTCAGATTATATAATATCAATAACAAAAACACTGTGTTTTGTGTTTTTTTTTTCATTTCGCTATGGTAATAGCCAGGAATACTTTAATAATATAATAACAGTTTAATAATAACCATTTCTTTTCAGTCTTGTTGTATTTGAGCTTACAGAGAAATATTGTCAAATTAAAAAACAAATGTTACTATAGGCTATACCAAAAGCATGACAAAGGTTACTTGCTTAGTAAAAAGAGTCAATGAAATAATTTTAAAAACAAAAATTATTTTCTAAGACAATCATGTGCTCTCAAATGCATGAATTCAGGGACATATGTAGCAACCAATCTAACTTTGGTTCATTTCTTCCTGGTCATCTGAAATTAAGGGTTCCTTTTGATATCTAAACATTTCAGCAAGATGAGGGCACCTGGACCAGCAGATGAAGCACAAATACAAACCTAATTCTTTAGAACACCAGTTTGTTTATCACAACCCACATTTGCAAATGAAAATATTGTGTTACTTTTCATTCTACACTCTACAGTGTCATCTGGTCACCAGTAGAACCTCAGTCCCATTGTTTAGTGAAAAAGAAAGGCACCTGCCCACACAGATGAAAAGGCTATCATAAAAATGAACATATGTAGACTTATCCCTAAGTTATCTCAAGTTAGGGAAATAAGAGCCCACTTTAGCTCCAGAGGTGAAAGGTGACTAATTATCATTATTACTAATATTAGAAAATAAACTTTTTGCAAGAAATGACTAGTTAACGTATCTATGTCTAAGAAGAATAAAGAAGGACAAATATGGAGTTTATACGAGATGCAATGAAGTGACTGATCTGAAGCAGCCCACTGAGTACATTCAAACCACATGGTACAGGATATCGTCATCTCAATTAGTCAACCGTTACAAACATCATTCACCCAGGCCTAACCTGCCATGAAACCTCAAGTAAAGACTAGGACTCTTCAGCTACAAAAGCAAAAATATCCCCCCAAAGTTAATTGGAAGCAACTTTCTGTGCATTAAGAAAGCATTTTCTTGGAGGCAAAGAAAAAAATACTATGATTAAAAATAATGTTCTAATAAAGCATAGTGCCCACACACAAAGGAAAAAAAACACACTATATAATCACAATCTTTAAGGTTTCCTTGAATGCTAATTGCTATCTTGGCTGCAATTTTTCACACCATCTGATAGATGACTTAATGTGACTTGGGAATCTTCAACAACTTGAAGTCAGGCGATTGCAGAGGTCGCTGGCTCTTCACACTGCCTTTTAAGAAAGTTTCTGACAAGTTCTAGAGATGTAGAAAACTATTCTTTTCTTCCCATTAAAATCCATTTTTTAGTGGATTCTCCAGTGAGGCAAACTGGGATCACAACACAGTAAATGAGGTATTGATACAATAAATGTTCATCAGGACTTCTCTTTGCTTGCTTGGGTGTCTTGTGAGCATTTCTACTAGTAACCAAAGAATAGTTCATTACACACCATCTCCTTTATTCTAAACCCAACCAAAGTTAGCCTATTTCATTATTTCATCATCTCCTAAAAACATGCAGCACACAGCCATATGCTGTAGCCTTCTCCTGTTTCCCTTTCCTCTCTCCACCAAATATTTCACTGGAATTTCTGTTGGCATGATTTTGGCGAATAGTTCAGTGTGTGTAAGAAATGATACATTAAATTTCAAAATACAAACCACAAACAGAAATCCAGATATGGTGCCAATTTAAAGATTTCAGTATTTTGATAAATTTCTTACATATACTGATATAGTCAAAAGAAAAAAACCTACTGAGTCAGTTCTGTGTACATGTAGAAGAGTAAGATGTGGAAGTCCTGTGGAAGATGCAAAGCAGTATCCTATAAAATGTGTCTGAAGACATTTAGTTTTGGCTTATAAAAAGTCCAATTTTATTTTTTAAAAAACACACATGGATGAGAAATCCAAAACTGTGTCCACATAGTTGCATGTTATTATTTTTAAACTAATGTCTAACACGCATGGGGAAATAATAGACATTTAATTCTACATATCAAATTTCCCCATTGAATGTCTGCATAAACCAAGAGGCAGGTCTTTCTGGTTATCAGATCAATTTAGGAGAATTATAAAAACATAATAAACGTACACCAAAACAAGAGCAGTCTGTGTAAGTATATTATTTAGGCACCAAAAAAGGAGGAAAGTCTCAGGGAAAAAAAGGAGGTCTCAGTGTTTTGTCCAAAATTCCAGAAACTGTCCATTATGATATTCAAACAAAAGGGAGGTGTTGAAACATTTACCAGTGTTTTATGTTTTGACAATATTAAAATCAGTTAATATCTGTAGGAACGCAACATTCAAATAATAACGTAAATAGTAGGAATTCAAGGCCAAGGCTAGAACCAACTCAAATCGACTTAACATCGCCTGTTTCCTCCACCAGGTTTTCAAGTTTGTCCAGTGATTTATACTGTGGTTTCTCGACCAGCTTTGAGATTGGGTGCTGAGAACTGTCGCCGCATCCGTGGAGGTGTTACAAACTGGCTACAGTGGTTGGGTTTGTCAGTCTGCCTCTGATAAGAATTGGCTGCACTGCCCTCTAACTGAGCTCCAGTGTTATAATTACAGTAAGACTGACGGTGCTGATGCATATGACGCTTTGCCTGGAAAGTCTGCAGGTCAGCAGTGGGGTGACCAGTGTGGGAGTTTAACGATTCTGAGGCGGCAGATGCCTGGCAACGCGCACTTTTCGGTTGGCCATTATTGAGAGAATTGCTTCTCCAGCGTAACTGAGGTGGCTGTTGTTGATTATTAATATGCTGCTTGCTAACTTGAATGTGATCTTGACTTCGTGTGCCCTGAGAGCCCCATGGTAACTGGGGATCCTTAGAAGTTGCTCGACCACCCTTTTCTTGGCTCTCCTCCTTGTTTCCTTTCCTTCCATCTTCCTCTTTTGGAATTCTAAGCTCTATAACCTCATCTTCTGTTATGATGATATGTGTCCCAGGACTCCAAGAGTTTCTGTGTTTAGGGTTGCTCTTAAAGGGAAACCGGGGCTTCCGATTCTCAGGAGGGATGAACCTATGAGGTACATTCTGCCGACGAAGCTGCTTTGATATCTCCTGCTGTTGCAGGTTCTTAAACCGGATTTGCTCTTGTCTCATCCAACGCAGACGTCCACGTCTGAAAGCTGGATCCCCATTCATCAGCTGGGAAACACGTTCTTCTTTCCCAAGTTCTCCACTGTCTCCTTTATTTGCATCATTCTCAGCATTGCTACTGACACCAGCACCAACATGTTCCTTTGCTTTGTGGTTTCCTTGGGTTTTCTGTTCCTGAGATCCAATCAGTGGTAAGACTTTCTCCATTTTGAGCATTTTATTTCTTAAGACTTTTATCTCCTCATCTTTCATGTTATTTTGCTTTTTGACTTCTTGCAAAATGTCTTCCAGCTTGTCTATATGAACCTTGAGGTCATCTACATCAGTTCCACCTTTACCACTGGCCATCATGTCTTCAATCTTCTCATCCCCTACACCAACAGTGTCCCAGACATCCCTGGCCACTGCCCTCCAGGAGTCTCGCTCATTGGGATCTTTCTTCCCATACATGGCACAAAGCTCTTTCATCTTAACAATGGCCAAGGCCTCAATCTCCTGCCGACTGTGCCTAAAATCGTTGAGAGCAACCTCATAGCAAATCTCTTTTACAGCCTGAATCTTAAGATCTGAGATGGTGACCCACTTGGAATCTTTACTCAGGCGCCTTCTTTGGGGTATTTGGTACATTTTAATAGGTTCTCGTTTCTTCCCACTGCTGGGGAGGCCACATTTTTTAACAATGGTTTGCAACTTGCTGGGAGGTAGCTTTTCTCTCAGAGAAGTAATCAGTTTCCAGCTCTCTTCACAGGACCTCTTGTCAGAATCATCCCCGCTATCAGAATCCGCGTCCTTTGGAAAACAAAATCAAAAAATGGCCCCAAAATAACCAAAATTAAAATGTAAAAAACGAAAATCAAATTGAAGAAAAAGCAAGCAAAAAAGCCTTAACCAAATTTAAAAACAAAACAAACCCCTATAGAACAAAAACTCTAAATGATGTGCAAGTCTATTAAGACGTATGCATATGTACAATATTATTAATATAAAGATTAGTTTGTCTGTTTAGTTTCACTTTCTGGCATAAGTGATGAAATCTGCAAGCAAATTTCTTAGGGAGACTGACACCGAAAGTGAGTCTCTCACTCTAAGGTCATATGAAGTTATTAATAAAATAATATAAAACATCTCCACTATCTCAAGAAAATGAAGTAAAACCTACGTCCCATCCATGCTAACACCCATGCAGCCACTTCCCCACATTTGCCTTGGTTATTGCTGTTGCTTCTTCCAGAAACTCTTTCCCCATGAGTGAGCACAGATGCCATACAAGATGTGACGAGCAGGCGGATTAACAAAGGTTAGTAAGGCTGTAGGATGCCACGTTTTGTTTAGCTTTACTAAAAAGAGCAGCCCTAGAAAAAAGTTAGAAGATGAGAAAGTAGAAAAAGAAGCAAACAGGGATGATGTTAAAAATGCTAAGAATCTCTATTAGCAGACCATGTGAAGTTCTCATCAACCAAATTGTTTTTCTAGAAAACAAGAGGGTTTTGAAACTAGTCTTTCCATGAACATATATTGGTTTGTTATTTTCATATCAAATTGATCTATTTCACTTTTACAATTAGAGGTGTTATCCAGAGAACAAGAAGGTACGAAAGGGTCCTTATACTGGGTCTGCTATTTTGTTTTCCACACCTGAATCAATAAATACCTCACCTCCAAAATTTTAGGAAACAAACTTCTAGAACATAAATTAAACCAGGCAAACATACTTTTATTAAACAACATTTAAGATTCCCCAAGTAATATTTTAATAAATACAACTTAAGAGATGTTTTCTATGAAAAGCCATGTGATCTCTAGCTATTTGAGAAATGTCACTTTAAGTGACAACTCTTCCTATCAACACATAAAACACAAAGATTTTAATGTTTATGTGAAATAGGCCACTTTAAAATGGTTTCTCTAACTTTCTTTCTGGCTATCTTTGCACCATTACTTCTTTTTCAAAACATTTTACTTAGGCCTGAAACTGCAGCCTGAGTTTGGATAATAACCAAAAATTCTTAACACAAGCAAATCTTGATAACATGGATGCAAGTGAAAGCAATGTTAGATTTACAATTCCCTATGAAGAACAGAATAAAGAAAGAATTTCTATTGAGGAAATAAAAGTTCCTTAGAAAAGACACTACTCACTAGAATAGTTCAAGCTAGCCTAGGGTCCTTATATAGCCTAGTAAATGAAATATTACTTAGTATTAAACAGTCTCCTTTACTTGGCTGAAATTACCAAAATTATCTCTAATAAAGTTTTTAAAAATCAAAATTGATAATTAATATCTTGCTTTCTATATCAAAATTTCCATGTACAAGTACTTTCTGAGGACAAAAAGTAACCTTCAACAATGACAATAATTTGGTCTCTGAATCTGATGTTGTTACTACTGATTTGTATTGGTCTATAAATGGGTCTGAACCAATTTATAACCCCCACCTATTTGAAAATTTGGCAACAAAAGCAGATAAAGTTGTATTTATAGATTGTAGATTAATTTCTTTTTTCATTTTTAGTTTTAAAAATCAGAATGGCTAATCTTAAGTGATGAAAGATCATATTAATTAACATTAGAGAAAAAAGTATATCTGAATCCTAAAAAGGTTTTCATGCAAATATGAAGAAACTGAGAGTTTTACAAAACACAAACTCTCTCTGATTCTTCCCACATAATTGACAACTATCACTTTTTTTCCTGGCTCCTTTTCCTTTTAAAATTGCTTAAGGAGCCCTGGCCGGTTTGGCTCAGCGGTTAGAGTGTCGACCTGCGGTCCTGAGAGACCCGGGTTTGGTTTCCGCTAAGGGCGCGTACCTCGGTTGCAGTTTGTCCTCGGCCCTGGTCGGTCGTGCGGGTGGCAGCCACTCGATGTGTTCCTTTCACATCGATGTTTCTCTCTCTCTCTGTTCCTCTCTCTCCCTCCCACTCTACCTGAACAAAAAAATGGGAAAATGTTCTCGGGTGAGGATAAAAAAAAAAAAAAATGCTTAAGGATAGCCCTGGCTGGTTTGGCTCAGCAGTTAGAGAGGTCTATGAACCCAAGGGTCAGTGGTTTGATTGTGGTCAAGGGCACATACCTGGGTTGCAGGTTTGATCCCTGGCCCTAGTCGGGGTAGTGCGAAGGCAACCAATTAATGTGTCTCTCTTGCACCAATGTCCCTCCCTCCCCCCACCTTTCCACTCTATCTAAAAATCAATGAAAAAATATCCTCAGGTGAGGATTAAAAAAAATCGATTAAGGATAAAATGAGTACTACCTAGTTTAGGAAATAACAAATGTTCTAATCACTGTTTTAATATCATGAATGAGAGATAAAAAAAATCTTTACACTCCAAAATAAAACATAAACAAATGAGAGAATCTACATAAATCCAAAAGAACTCATATTAAATCAAGTGGCCATAATTTCCTTTTTTTATAAAATATGGTCATATTGACTCTGTAGACTACATTCTCCATATGGTTCAAATATATCCCCCCTCACATACTGACCATGATACTAGAAAGTCTATATGCAAAGTTTACATGCCAAGATGTAAATTCTATCTCATGTCAAAAACAAAAAAAACCTATTTAGATTCATTTATTAGAGGGTTGAAAAAACTACTCAGGTCTGGCCAATTCACAAGTCACTAAAAGATCCTTGTGTTTTCCTTAAGTACCAAATGCAAAGTAGGCCTCCTGAAGAGATTCTGCAAGAAGCTTATACAAATAGAAGAGACACAATATCCAAAATACAAAAAAGCAAGCACAGAAAGGACCAGGTGTACAATAGGGCACTAACTGTAAGAGAATGTAACAGTGTGACGCATATGGGGTACTAAGGTAACAGAAGACTCCATTTTTTAATGCTGTTGTTAGGCAAAAATGATTACATATAATGAATATTTATTTACTGAATAAGTATATTTACTGAATAATAATTCTTTTGTATCCTCTCAGCATTTATTCATAGGGTGCATCCAAAATATATCTGTAGGTTGACCAATATAGGAATCATAAAAACACATTTCCCATTCAATATTGTTACTGCTAGACACTCTTCAGGCGAAAGCATTAGAAATCAACTCCTCTTGAGGACAAGAAATTTAAATGGAATACAGAGTTGGACTTGGAAGAGGCAAGCAAGCTCCTGAAATCCCAGCTTGCTTTAAGATACACAGACCAAATGACAATCAGAACCTGATTACTTACAGACTAAGTATGTCTCCTGGAAACTAAATATGTCTTAGAGACATTTACTTTCTTTTTGTGAATGGCCATCATTTTACTTCACGGCACAGAATGATCACCAGCTCTTGATTATGGAGAGCACCAGCCATCATTCTTTCCTACCTAGTTACTCAACAAATGGTCCCAGGACCAGCAGCATGGGCATGCCTGGGGTTAAGAGTACAGAATATCAGGTCCCACCCCATACTTGCTGAGTCAGCACCTACATTTTAACAAGACTCCTAGGTGGCTGATAAGCACTGCTCTACTGAACAGAACAGTAAAGTCATAAGACCCAAGTTTAAGCTTCAGACCCAAGACTTAATGGGTTTTAAGAGTGGGCAAGAAAGCATTTTTTAGCCTTGGTTTCCTCAATATAAACTGGACGCAATATTACTAATTTTATGTATATACACATCTATTAAAGAGAGTTGTTTCAGGAATTAAAAAAAAAAAGTGATGGATAGTCAAGCTCTCTGGAAATTATAAAGCACTACACAATTACAAGGCACTATTGTTAATAATAAACACTGCTTAATTATACCTGTCTTCATTTGATCTCTCACAGACCATCAGAGGCATGTTATTAAACTACATTATTAAGATAAAAGGCTCTTTTATGTGTCGTAAACCTTTCAAGCCCCTAATCACAGTGTAGCTAAATCTTTCTGATTTTATTAAAAATTTAATGCCAACTAGGCCTCCTAAAGAGACTCTATGTGTATAACACTACTATTATCTTGCCCCAAACACTTGATTTATTCTTACAATGCAGTATTTTTTTGGCTTTATTATAATTTCCAAGATAACAAGTGAACTGGTTTACCTACTGCCATGCCCCAGAACTGAGTTGCCTTGGAAAAGGCTGCTTTTGCTTAAGCCCTTGGCTTTTCTGTCCCATTTAGCAACAGCCTCTCTTCTCCAAAGCAGAGCATGGCTACAAGGCTGTAGTTTACACACAGTTTTACATGCTGTATTTTATGCTAACCTAACTTAAAAGAAGTTCACGAATCTTAAAAAATGGAAAATTCCTATATTACACCCATAGTACTTAAAGGTTTGTTATACCTTCTCCTTACATATCAAATGAATGCCAAGAAGTTTTTTATAACAAGGGCTTTGTTGACCAAAATTGGGTGGCTTTAAAAATTAAATTCTAGCCCTGGCCAGTGTGGCTCAGTTGGTTGCACATCAGTTTCATGCCCTGAAAGGTTGGGGGGCTCGATCCCTGGTAGGGGGCATGCAGGAGGCAGCCGATCAATGCTTCACTCTCACATCGATGTTTCTCTCTCTCCCTTTCCCTTCCTCTTTCTCTAAAAATCAGTAAAATATTTTAAATGAAAATCTAACTAATAAATCAACTTATTTATTCTTGAGATTCAGTTTCTACCAAACTTGGAAAATCAATTAACATCCTAAAATGCTAAAGCCGTTAGCATTATAAGATGCAACCTTAAAACCTTAAACTGACTTTTCAGCTGCTACCCAGAGAAAACAGGCTTCCCTCTCCTATCTGGTTGGCTGTACAGCCCCTGCTTCCACTATCATCCCACATGCCACGGAGACCTTACTGAGGATGCAGACTCCATGCAGGGGAACAGAAAAGGATTAACACATGCACCTGTGCAGCAACACTTTTAGAAACAGTTTAACTGAAAAAAAAAAGTCTGCCCAGCACGAGAACAAACCCAGGTCAGCCCAAGAGCAGAGAATTAGTACTATCAGGTGCTCAGAAACAAAACCAAGGCAAAATTCGCACCAAATTCAATACACAGAGTAGTTATTACTAAAAGAACCACCACTGATGCATACTCAAAAACTACTATCAAGAGGCAAAAGCTACCAGAAAAGCTCCCACTATAGCACTTGGTTTTGACAGAAGATTTGACTTTAAGACATGAAAGGCACAAAACAGTACCTTTATGGACAGTTTTTCGGGCTAAGGCTACTAGGAGCTGTAAGTTCATTCTCCATGAAGGAAATGCGAGAACAGTTTGTGGTATCAGTGAGAGATAGATAAGCCATGTGGGCAAGTGCTCATCTGTGGGACAGGGAAGGTGTGAGAGCAAGCTGCCCTTTCCCAAGAGAGGATTCATGATGGACTCCTACCAGTCTCTGTTGCTCCAAGAGAAGATCTGCTTCTTCCTTCTCCTTTTTGTATAGGATCTCCATTTCTTGTAACCTAGAAGAAAAAGAAAAACAAGAGAGGAACAGAATAATGGTGAAATCACTGAGCTGTATAAATGCTACTACTGTATGTTTAAAAGACGTGATAGTCATGTGGGCCACATCATATTTGTACATTACCTTTTCTCCATCTCCTGTTTCATATCAATTCCTTGTTTTTCCAGAAGCTCTCTCTGGGCAAATGTCCAGTCCACAGGCTCAGAGGGGGTCTCAGCAGAAGGAGTCTTCTCCCGCTCAGCCCGTGCTTGCTCCGGGTGGTTAAAACGAAACACATGGTTTTTACCCATGATGATACGGTTTCCTAGCACAAAACAAAAACAAAGAAACTATTTTTAAAATGTACAGTATCTAGAGTAATGACCCCCCTCTTCCTATTGCAAAAAGACAGCTTTTGGAATTTTATAAGAGCATAAATTCTAATGCTGACTATCAATTCAGCCTTCAAACAAAGATTCAGAAACTGAAGAGTTGAGCACCCTGCCAGCGTGGCTCAGTGGTTGGAACGTTGGCCCGTGCACTGAAGGGTCTTGGGTTTGATCCCCATCCCCAGTGGAGGAGGCAACGAATCAATTTATCTCTCTCACATCGATGTTTTTCTCTCTCTTTCCCCCTCCCTTCTACTCTCTGAAAAATCAATGGAAAAAATATCCTCAGGTGAGGACTAAAAAAAAAAGAAAAAATTATAGAGTTGCTCACAAAAGCCATGTGATCTTTGCTGAAGACTTCAAACCTGCCCCAGTCTCACCTGAGCGCAGCTGAACAGACTGGGCCACCCTCTTGCCATTTACGTAGGTTTCTGAGCGTTCACAGGGCTCTAGAGTCACGATTACTAAGAGGAATGCAAATTAATGTTAGCATCACAAACCACTGGAATAATGGAAAGCAGATGACTATCAGGATTCAGGGTAACTAGAATAAATTCCTGTAATCAACCAAGTGGCTGAGCATCTATATAAGTTAAAAGAGAGTGCTATAACCAGGGCTGTAGCTAAGACAGAAACGTTTAAATGAATTTGACAAATCTCAAATGATATGAAATCTCAGTTTGGGTAATATCTGACAGTTCAGTCTATAAAACTGAAAACTATCAGAAATCTTAAGTATGAGAGATAGGTTATAACCAGAAACTTAAAATCAAAAGCTAATATTCTGATTAAGGAAGGAATGAATTACATAGCACAAAAATATGACTAGATTGCTGCTGTTCTGTTAATAACCTGGACAAAATACAAGATTGACTTTTTCTTCCTTTTTAGATAAAATTCTACTGGTTTAAGGCTAGAGGTCCTTCAAATCTCCCACTACCCAGGACATTTGTTCTTCGCTTACTTGTCTATCAAATAATTAACATTCAAGACCAAGCCTAATTGCCTATGTCCTGCTTAGTTCTTGGCAGTAACAAAGGGCTCCTTCTGTCCAGGCTATTTTCATGTAGAGTAGCTCGGTCGTCCTTGCATTTATAAGCAGCCTAGGTTTCTCCATTTTCAAATATTGGAGTGTGTAAGTATTACTGAAAGGAACAAGGAATACCAAGTCTTGCGATGGATTTCCCATAATATAGAATGAAACATTGTTGGAAAAGCCAGGCCAAGGACTCTCACCATCCCCACTGTTGTTTCTCTCACTCCGGAAGATACAATGCTCTTCTTTAATGTGAGCCCCACTCAGCACGATGTCCTGGCGCCGCTCGGCATCTGCTTGGCCAACCCTGAACACAAGGGAAAGTGTTTCCCAGGGAAATTCAGACACAGAAAACACTACCAACAATGAAACCCTTTCTCCCAAAGAATATGCTTTGGTATGTACAAAAAAGGTACCACCTTTTTATCAGAGGCTTTCAACTGCAAATTCGATTTTCATATATGGTCAGCTTCCCCACATCAGAATAAGAAATCAAAAAACAATGATTTAACAGTGTAACTCACATGTTATAAAAAGTCATGAGAAAACTAATCTCCCTAATGAATTTGTATAAGATGCAAGAAGGAAAAAATTTTACTTAGAGTCTTTTAAGGAAAAACTTCATGTTAACTGGTTCAGCTGCCTAAAACATAATTTGGGAAGAGTAGAGAGAATAGTTTGTAACTACTTCAGATGTGAAAAATAACAAATTATTACAACAAATATTTCAACAACTTCCCTTTACTGTATCATCTAAGAGAAAGAAAACATTAAGTGACCAAAAGAAAAAAATATACCTTGTAATTCCATCTTTGATGTAATAAAGCAGGCATTCTGACATCAGTGGGTCCTCATTGAGGTTAACAAGATGTGGGGTCTGAAAAAGGTTACAGGCGATCAGTCAGGGCAAGCGCCCTCAGAGCGCTGCGACAACAGGAGGCTGGTGGCTTCCTGAATCACCCACGGTGGCTGGGAGAGAACGCCTTCCTTCCTAGCTGCGATTCCATCATAAACAGAAAATACTCTCTCCAGGCCTTTCCAAACTGCACTAATACAGTCTATCTAAAAACATGAGTTCTGGTATAAAGAACAAAATCCAGTTCTTGACAAGGTCAAAATGTTCAGAACACAAAAGAAAAATTATGACATGCTGATTCTCTGGATGGGTAATCATAATTTTTGTAAACACCTGGACAAACTCTTGGAGGGTAGCAGAATACACCACACCAAAATATGCCGCTTTGACCTATCATTTTGAGCAGTAGGCACCTGAAAAACAGCCAATGCATAGAGAGGGTTTCTCTGTACTCTCCTCATCTGCTTCAACACAGATCCTCCAAAAGGAGCTCAATGATTATAAATCCTTCCAGGAATTTCATGACCAGGGAAGACTGGCTCTTATCACAGGAGAGAAGCCCAGAAGTCGCCATCACACCCAGACAAATTTTGTCACAAAGTATCTATCATACCTCCCACCTACTCTTCTAAGGGCCATTCATCTTCCCTAAAAACCATTTCCTCTCCCTCGGAGGTCTATCTTCCCCTTCCGCTTTCCCTATTAAGATAATATCTAGCCCTGGCCGGTTTTGCTCAGTGGTTAGAGCGTCGGCCTGCGGTCTGGAGAGACCCGGGTTCGGTTCCCCTAGGGGCACGTACCTCGGTTGCAGTTTGTCCCCGGCCCTGATTGGGTCGTGTGGGTGGCAACCACTCGATGTGTCCCTTTCACATCGATGTTTCTCTCTCTTTCCCTCCCACTCTATCTGAACAAAATATCGAAAAATGTCCTCAGGTGAAGATAAAAAAAAAAAGAATTAAAAAAAAAAAAAAAGATAATATCTAAGTCTGAACTCTAAGCCACATCAAGGAGTTACTCATTATTCCCCAGGTATTTTCCATGTATACAAAAAGTAACATGTTAATAAACTTCTCTTTGTTTCTTTCTCTCTCTCTTTTTTATCATCACCCGAGGCCATTTTTGCAAGTATCTTCAAATAGAGCAAGAGGGGGGGAGGGAGGGAGGGAGGGAGAGAGAGAGAGAGAGAGAGAGAGAGAGAGAGAGAAACATCAATATGAGAAATGCATCGAGTGGTTGCCACGCACACAACCCTAACCAGGGCCAGGGACAAACTGCAACTGAAGTACATGCCCCTAGTGGGAACTGAACCCAGAACACTCTGGTCCTTGGGCCGATGCTCTAACCACTGAACGAAATCGGCCAGGACTATTTTTCTCTTGTTAATCTGTCTTTTATTACAGGGCTCTCAGCCAAGAACTCAGAAGGGTAGAGGAAAAATTATATTTCCTCTTCTACAATTTCAATAAATATTTAATTTTTTATTTGTTTTATAAGTATGTCCCCACCCCACCCCCATCACCTCCCTCTTTAATTTGATCAGTTCTTCCTTGGTCCCAGTTATTGTCTTTAGTTTATTAATTAGTCTTTACCTTAAAGAAGAAATTAAAATGACTGGCATTCAATTAATATACACATCTTGTAAAAATCCTCTTCATCTAACTCTAATATTTCTAAAATCTTTTAAAAACCAACCTTCTTTGGTGAAAATACCCCACTGGAATCCAAAAGAACGTTACATGGTCTTGGGGTCAAAATTTACTCAAAATAGTGTCAGCAAATGTGGAAAATGAAAGAAGAGTCAGAAGAGAGAATTAAAAAAAAAAACTACAAAAGATAGTTAAAAAAAAAATTAGAACCCTGGCTGGTTTGGCTCAGCAGTTAGAGCGTCAGCCTGTGGACCAATGTGTCTCAGGTTTGATTCCAGTCAAGGGCTCGTACCTCAGTTGTGGTTCAGCCTCGGCCCTGGAGTCATTCGGGAGGCAACCGGTCAACGTGTCCCTCTCATGTCGATGTTTCTCTCTCTCTCTCTCCCTCCCACTCTATCTGAAGATGGATGGGGAAGTATCCTCAAGTGAGGATTTAAAAAAAAAAAAAGAAATGAGAAAAACATCTACACCTTTCTAACTAGTATCTGCTTCTGCCATTTGAGCTTGTTTGGAGGTTCTAGCAGGGGAGCACAGCTACTCGCATACCCTTGACCGAAGACCGGTCCTCTCCTCTGGGGGGAAGGTCGTCCTCTTCCACCGAGCACGCACCTTCTGGAGGGACGCACATGGATCGGTTGAGGGAGGAGGGGGACACCCGTCTAGCCAGCCAGATAGGCCGAATCAACCCTTGGCGATCAATGGGGTGACAGATGTCGCAGCCAGATCGCCCTCACATCCTGTTTCTGCCATTTGAGAGCTTGCTGACTGAGACAGTCAAAGGCCTCTTTGGGCAGCATTCTTTAGAGCCCATCATGACACTGGACTAAGAAAAAAGGAACCTCTGAAATAGGTTCTATTTTTTTTATTTTCTTGCCTTAAAAGAATTTTCCCCCTAGTTTACTGAGGTATAATTGACAAATAAAAATTGTATTTATTGCCCTGTATTTATTCTATCAAACCCATAACTGCTAAATCTCTATAATAAGTAATATATCTGAATAAATAATGTCTTACTAAAGGAAAAACCTTTAAACTGTGAAAATGAAAATCATTGACCTTAAGCAATACAAACATATACAGTACACTTTCATTATTGTTCCAGTTTTATAATATATATCTAAAATTTCACTAAATCAATCTTCTTTGTTGAAAATAACACAGTAGAATTTATTAAAAAGTTATGCGAAAAACCTAACCAAAATAATCCTAGCAAAAACTACAGGAATATTTTATATCACATAAAATAAAAGTACCAATTGAAAACTCCGTACCCATTCTATGCTAACCCAGAGAGAGCATTATCAGACCCTTACATGAAGATGTTTACGCTTCTAACTGCCAACTTGAGGTCATTTGAAATGAAGGATAAAGTATAAGCTTTGTACATCAACATATGTTCTATTAATATATAAATAACCACACAAAATAATCACTTGATAATATTTTCCAATATCTAACTACAACTAAGAAGAACTCAGTCAAACAAACAAACAAAAAAACAAACAAACACCTTACTATTCTAATTAACTACAAGGTATCTATTACTTCATAACTATGATTATGTAAGTAGGAAGGTAACTACTAGAGTCCTTTTGGTAACTGGGAAAGGCACAGAGGCTAGGATGAGGACAGGAATTGCATTGCTCAGAACACGGTTGTCTATAACACAAACTGTAGAAGCACATTGAAGTAGTTATTTTTCTAAACAAACCTGAACAGCTGAAATTGCTTCCAGAGAGTTATAAATCAGGGCTGCCAGCACCTGTGTGAAAATCTACATAGAAAGAGTGGCCAAACTGAAGCAACATATACTAGGCTTGGAATTTAAGAGAAAGCAACAACGAAGATGATTAAACATACTGAATCATGACCAAAAGTTACAGATTTGCTGCTTTGTGTTTTATTTTTTAAACAGTAAACATAATAGGCTGCCCTTGGACTGTAAGATGAAATCAGAAATATGTGAAATTAAGTAAGTTATGTCTCAAGATTTAAATAAAAGGGGACAAGGGGCCAGCCCAGAATGACACGAAGCACCCCAGTGACTAGACAAACTAGTCTAGTTTGTTTGGCTGAGTTTCACAACATGATTTCCTACCTTTTTAGGTGAGAAAACCCCCAGAGTTCCTCCATCTTCCCGAATGGCAACTCCCATCTCAGCCAACAAGGCCTCTCTAGAAAAAACAACAATCACATCAGAATACTAATACCAAAATGTCAATTAACTCAGTCTAATATAAATTGAAAAATAAAGCAAAGCAAAAACAATTGTCCATGTTTAAAGTCAGTAATATACATGTGAAAGATCTGCTTATCCCTTCATCAGAGAAATTATTTTTAAGAGAAACAGCACATTAAAAATAAATTATGTTCTTATGTTAGGTAAAGTTACAGTCACCCAAATAAGAACTTGTTTTCATCTGACTTTGGAGATAGAAAAAATTCATAATAATATGTCTATTTGTATAAAAAAAGGAAGAAAGGGATATTCCTTAAGGCTCTACGTAAAACTCAACCCTTTCTTCAAAATCTAGGAAAACAATCAGAAAGTAATTTTGATAGATGGACTATTATCTATAAATGTGATTTTGCTCGAATGTTATGTTCCCGTACCCAGAATAATACTGGTTCAACAATTCTAGCTTAAAATCTCTATAATAAATTAGAAAGTTCTAATTGTTTGATACATTTACTGTATCAGTACATTGGAACTCACTTCTGCCTCATTTCTATGAAGAGAAAAGACAGAAACCAACCTTTCAAAATGTATATTTATTCCAATATCAAAAGTATTAGTTTCATTATGTTCACATTCAGGGTAGAAATAGAGTAGGGATTTTAATAGTTTGCAACTCAAACTACTTCATTTCTTACCAAAGAGATTCTATAAAACTTTGAAAGACAATATTCAGAACAGCTTTTTAAATTTGGGCCTTTATCAAAGGCAGTCTCTTTGCAAATTAAAAACTCTATCCCTTGATAATATCTTCCATATATATATAAATCCCTAGCAACAAGCAGTATGGAAACTACTGAAGTATCATGACTCTCAGAGAACACTTAAATATGTGAATTTCACTTCAAAGTGAAAATTCAACTAACCTTAGGCCCCAGCCAGATTTTTGTTTTGTTTTGAGATAGAAGGTTCTTTGTTTTAACTTCTATTTTATCTTTTCTTACTATAAAAGTAATCAAAATTTCCTAGAAAATTTAGAAACATTCCCAGAGCTTAACCTCCTGACCTCTCCATTCTGATGGCTTCTGTTTTACGCAGCTTCTCTTCCCAGGTTTCATTTAATTCAGCAATGATCTTCTCTGATTCCTATGGGAGGAAGTCTACAGTTAAAGTGGCAAACAGTCTCATAATTTAACATAGCATGTCTGGAAAGGACAGCAAGAAGTAGACGATGTCCTTTGAGAACATGAGGCAGAATCTAATATGATATATTTTTTTCCTTTATTTTTATTGTTTTTATCCTCACCCGAGGACATTTTTTGCATTTATCTTCAGATACAGCAGTGGTGGGGGGAGCCAAACCGGGCAGGGCATCCTTTCTTAATATGTAAAGAAAAAATCATAAAGATGAGGCCTAACACTAAATCAATCCCAGATATATTAATTTTCTTAAGTCCTAATAAAAATATCTTAATAGTGTCCTGGCTGGTTTGGCTCAGTGGTTAGAACATCGGCCTGCGGTCCAGAGAGACCCGGGTTCAGTTCCCACTTAAGGGCATGTACCTCGGTTGCAGTTTGTCCCCGGCCCTGGTTGGTTGTGCAGGTGGCAGCCACTCGATGTGTCCCTTTCACGTAGATGTTTCTCTCTCTCTCTTCCTCTCTCTCCCTCCCACTCTGAACAAAAAATGGAAAAATGTCCTTGGGTGAGGATAAAAAAAAAATCTTAATAGTACATGTGTGTAGAAGAAAGGATAATATTAACATCCCAATATGCAAGGCACTATTTCTGGAATCCACTTCTACAAAAGAATAAAGTACCCAAAGGTATTAATTGCTTTTGTTTCACTATTATTTCACCGTAACACTGATGGGATTCCGAGCATGCTCCCCAAAACATGGCATCTTGGTGTACTAAATATTTTAAGCTGAAGTAATTTGAAAAACTGTATGTGTAGGAAGGACCCTGAGCTCCTCCTAAAGCAAGTTATTAGAGTCTCAGGAAAGGTGCCGTCCCTATACCTGGAGGAAAGGAGCATCCACACCTCCAAAGGCAGAGGAACGCCAAGCGGAATCTGACCAAACAGGCCTTGATAACTTGCCCCCAATTTACTATTCTTAGCTCACACCCTTTTGTCCTATCACATTTTCCCACAACTATTCACTCTTCATCAAACTTAATATTCAGGTTCAACACTTCTTATAAAGAAAGACTCGTGTCATGTCAAACTTTTGTTAAATAAATTTGTATGCTTTTCTCTGATTAATCTGTCTTTTGTTACAGGGGCCACAGACAAGAACCTGGAAGGGTAGAAGGAAAAATATTTTTCCTCCCCTACTACACAATACTTTCTGAACACAAACTAATGCCCAATATAGGCGTCCCTCGTTTATCGCGGTTAATCCGTTCCAGACTTTAGCGGTTGGCCCTGGCGTTGAAGGAGTCCTGGGTGCTCGAATACATAGGCCTACAGTCCATACGTATAGTAATTTTCATTTTAATTGTAATACAGGGGTGTATAATTGACTCAGACAACCGAGCGCACGTTGTATCATTTTTACTGTTTCGATCAACTTTTTAATGAATATATTTGAAAAAACTGCAATAGAGTAAAACCGTGAAAGTCGAAGTGCGAAGTGGCAAGGGACGTCTGTATATAAAGATTCAGTATTAATCCCAACTGAAAGCATTTTGCCCCACTGAGTGACAATTTCCTAATTTCCTATTTAGCATATGTCAAAAAATAAGAAGTAAAACATCTTTCCTGTTCTCAAGGAGTTTACTGTATACCAGAAAGAGAAAGAAGTAACTGATGACTCATTCATTCAATAATTATATATAACCCCATTTTATGCCAAGCCCTATTCAAGGCAACTAGGGGTATGGCAGGGAACAAAATCCCTGCCTTCATGAGACTTACATTCTAGTAAAGAGAATGAAATAATCAACTATAATCAGTAAGTCAAACACACGGTACGACAGACTATAAGTGCTTTGGAGAAAAATAAAGCAAGGAAGGAAAAGAATGTTGGGGGAGGGGTAGTGAGGGAGCAATGTGGAGTGGGGTCGCCAGGACAGGACTCACTGACAAAGTTCTACATGAGCAGGAGCTGCCACACGAGTATGTGAGGGAATAAGTAGGAAATGCCTGAAATCTTCCAGGAACAACAATGTGGCTAGAGCAGCATGTTCAAGGACTGTAAGTGGGTATGGTACAAGAAAACAACAGGGCAGTGTGCTAAGTGCTAGAACTGAAGTATTAAAAGGTTGATGGAGGGTAGGTGAGTCAAGGCTGAGTGATGCTCATATCAATGAATGCCAGACAAGTACGAATTGACTGATGGAGGGAGAGGGAGTACCAAAACAGGAGATGAGCATATGCAAAAAACGGGAGAAAATGCTAGCCATGGAGACGAAATGAGAAAGCTAGTTGATGATGATGATGATAACCATGATGAGATACTAACAGTGATGATAACAGTAATTAGTCTTAATAGTTCACAGAATAATATGATTCATTTGGCTATTGTAAGAAGCCTCTGGGATCCCCAAACATAATTACATAGAAAGAAACTGTGAATATGAAATACAATAAACCCTAGGTATCTGGCGTTTGCACAAGTCCATGCAAAACTCAGCCAAGAGTAAAGAGTCAAGGCAGCACCTGCAAAAGCAAAGGAGTACAGGAGTCAGGAGAAACAAACTGAGGGCATGATGATGATGATGATGATGATGATGATGATGATGATGGAGGAGGAGGAGGAGGGGAAGAAAAAGAAGGGCAACAACAACTGCTACGACTACCACAAGCTAAGCTAGGCAAAGGGCAAAACTGATTAAAAATTAGAACAAGCATGGGCATCAGTAGGGTCAATATAAAGAGGGCCACGTAGGATGTGTACTTTCAGGAAAGAAGAGTAAATTAAGCTAGAACAAGTCTTTGGTGGGGAGAGGTGAAGAAAAAAAGACAAAACTATCCACTGGCTCTCATTAACCTTCCAAAGATGCATAGGCTGAGAACCACCTGAGTGGCATCTCCACAGTTTTCCAATAGGAATTATTAATATGCAGTGCATGTGCCACTCCAAAGCTAAGTGAGGACCCAACATGCCACTATAGAGGGCCAGCAACCAAGAAAAACCCATATAATTTCGGTAAGTAGTAAGATGGCCAGGAATGGAAGTGTGCCAGGTACCAAGCAGTCAATAGTGTGTCTTATAAAGCATCAGAAAAGCCACTGAACAAATCTAACAGGGTAGTATTAAATGCTTCTGTAAATGACTGTAAAAGGGCAAGTACAAGACAAGCTGGCACCACAAACTATATGACATTAAGGCTTATTAATGATAGCTGGGTAGAAACCGTTATAGTCTCAAAATGACAATCTGGAAAAAAAATAAACAGAATAGAATGCCCCTGACCAAACCAGAGCACTTACATTAGTGCTTAGGTATACAAAGTGTGGCCCACAAGCCACTGATGACTGTTATGGAATATACAAAGTGACCCATGAGATACTTAAAATATTTTTATTCCTGGTTGGTTTTCAGAAAAAGATCATGTCAAAGCAGAGGTTTATCGGGCTATATTAAAGCAATTCTATTTTGGGGTAACTGTAAACTCACCCAAAGGAAGCAAAGTTACTGTCTAGGAATCCTCTTACCATTTTGTTGCCAACTCTGATGTGACTCTCTAATTTTACTTTCCACCTGCAGGGTAAATCAGAATATGATCTCTTTGCCCTGGCCGGTTTGGCTTAGTGGTTAGAGTGTTGGGTCACAAGTTCGATTCCTGGTCAAGGGCACATACCTGGGTTGCAGGTTCGATCCCTGGCCCCAGTTAGGGTTGTAAAGGAGGTAGTTAGTTGATGTGTCTCTCTCACATAGATGTTCCTCTCTCTCCTCCTCCCTCCCTTCCACTCTATCTAAAAAAAATCAATGGAAAAATATCCTCAGTAGAGATATAAAAAAAAAAAGATCTCTTTGTAGAATCAAGAGAGATTTGCTGAGTCAGCTGAGTATGGTACTACTTTTACTTTTTAATCAGCTTCAAGTTGAAATGTTTATATTATTTAGAACATTATTTTTTTTAAAACTTTGAAGAAAGATTAGAGAAAATGATATTATCATATTAGCAAAACTTCAATGCTGGGAAAACCATTTATTCCAGAACCATTCTAAGGATAAAGAAACTAAGGATCAGAGAAACTAAGCAATTAACCTGAGGTACATGTCTTCCTGAGCCCGGTCTAGAACTGGGTTTCCTAACTCTTAGTGTTTTTTCTTCAAGTAAGGTGGAGTTGATAAGCTTTGAAGAAAATATTGTACAAAAAAACTCACCATAAATTAGAGTGAAGGATATTCTTTCTTCAAGCCTGAATAACAAACAGTATGACTAAAACAGAGACGCCAATAGGAAGAAAGCTTGGTCTCTGAGTCATCAACTCACTCTGCAGGCAGGCCTGGCACACCGGTGTCCAGTCTGCCCAGAACCCACTCTAGAAGTCTGATCGAAGATTAAACTAAAATGGGAAATCACACTTAAGAAATGAGGAATCGAGGAGACAAAAATCTTTAGAAGGTCCTTCCTTCCCGCCAGTACTATACATATAAAAATTCTGAAAAGCAGTGTGACATCAGGAATTTTTTTTTTTTAAGCTCCAAGGAGTGTTGGGCTCAGGAGTCATTCAACTTTAGTCTCACATCACATATGTCTAGCTATCCGTACAGCACTGGTTAATAATTATGTCTATACGGCTAAACACAATTTAATCTCTTCACTATGATTCAGTTATGGCGGCAAAGAAATCCACAAAAAAGTCAGAAAAATGTCCACGAAAAAAAGTAGTTTAAATTGTGATATTTAAAAGTTAAGTGCTTATACATGGAACATTCCTTGAAGCCATCAGATGGCCAAGGTTTTACTGTACTGAACACAGCATGCTTCATAAGTGAGTTCCAAGTGTGGGGCCCTCGGGCTGCCTTGCACAGCATTTGCTCTTTCGTGCTTCTATAATAAATATTTGTGGATATTTATAGTCTAAGCCAAAGCAATGGCACTCACAGTACTGACTTTGATGCTAGACTAATAAACAAACACCAGAGCCACCACACAGTGGCTATAGCTACATTATTTAAAAACTTATTGAATAGGAATCTAAATCAGGGATACATACTTTTGAACTCAGTTTGAACTGTAACTAAAAACTGAATGCAATTACATGTCATTCTGTTTTGCCAGAGAGGGTTATGAAGGGCTCAAGATATTTATGATGGGGTAACATGGATGGACCTCTTCCATATGAAAACAGACTATTCAATGAACAAAGCAGTAGCAACATCCAATGTAAAAGTATTCTACCAACTGATTTTTTTTTTTAATAAAAAAGAAGCAAAGGGAAATAATATGTTAGGAAAATGAATTGACTTCCTTTATTACTGTTTTCCATGACAGTATTTTTCTCCTACAGTGTCATGTCTTAGGAACGTGGCTCCTTCACACTCAACAATGAAATTATCCAAAACTGAGAAATTCTCAGGCATTTCTATCATCCAACCACTGCCTGGCTGTGGATGCAAGATGTTATCTGCCCACAGCATTAAAATGCAGGTCTACCAGAATGGAATTCTCACTATTTACAAAGTAAGAGCAGAACTAAGGCGCTTAAGCTTCAATGAACTCCCATGCTGCATTAAAAACTCAAGATTGAATGCAAAGAAGCTATTTCCTAAAGGTAGGGAAAATGGATGATTTCATTTATGTTCGCTTAAAGAATTAAAACAGAAAAATGTATTACTTTCTGATAAAAGTACTACAGTTTTGTTTTGTTTTGTTTTGTTTTTGGTGGGAAGTAGGGAGGCTGAGGGGAGGGTTCCCTGAATAATGGCAGTGTTATTCCCTAGAAACGATTTGGAAGACAATGGATGACCTAACTCTACAGAGTCTGGTTAATGTCTTAACTCTTAACATTCAACATTATTTTCAGTTGAACCCACTTGGTAGTTAGGAAGAATTTTCTCTTTTACAAGATGTATGTTAAAGAAAAGCACAATCTTATTTGTACACTAAGGCTTTAATAAGCAAACAGTAAGATTCAAAATCCCCAAAGAAAAGGACATTTTAAACAGTAAGTGGGAGACTTCCCTTTACCTTCTCACAGAGCCCCTGCATTCCCTACCCCGGCCCCTGCACAGCACCTTTGTCACTGATACCTGTGATAAAATACGTGAGTAAAGCCTTCCTGCCCAGGGCTTCACTAAAGTCTTTAGTAACATTTCAAAGTCAATTTTACAAAAGCAGAAATTACCCTTCAATTTGCAACATGAAAAGATTTCTCACTCCCTCTCCCTTTGCCAGGTATTCAGAACTTCAGTCACTTTCCACTAACGTGTTCTAGAGAAAGACATAAGATCATTACTTTGCTTTCCAAGGCACCTTATTTAGGAATAAAATGCCAAGGGAAAAGGCAGGCTGCTTAAGAAGCATAAGCCCATTCTTCATGTAAAAGCTTTCCCAGCCTCACCTAAAAACGGAAGTATTATTAAGCTTAATTCCTTTTAGTGATGAAAAGGCTCAGCAACCCTTTCCCATCGTTCACCCGCCAGCGTCGCCGCTTTCCCAAGTCCTTGCACGAGCCGCAGTCGTGGAGGCAAAGGGGACTACTAGCTGGCAGCACCTTCCCAGCTCCTTACCCAGTCTCTTCGCCCTTGTCTTCCCTACCCTGGCACTCTTGAACACAAAGGCCAAAGGCTATGAATCAAGCCACCAACCTGGAGGTGACAAGCAAGGAAAGAAAAAACATCTGTGATGCTGTCACAGTGACTTGATAGATGGCACCACAGGTGACAACTGTCTGCTCCCATTGTAGTCACTGAGGGGAAGGAAGCACCAATGAGTCAGAAGACTTTGCTGTTCCTAACTTCCACATTCATGGAGAGAGGCAAGAAAGTACCTGACTGAGCCAGCAACAGGCTGGGAAAGCAAAGCCGAGTGCCATGGCAGATGACCTGCACATGCAGGACTCAAGTGCACAGCACTAAGGCCTCTGACCCCATGTGTACCTTCCATGACAGTGACCACATGGTTCCAAGGCTTTCTATGGACTTCAAAAGATGTCACTTCACGTGTCTCTGAATAAAACTGGTATAGCTACTTGAATGTTCAAACTTTTTGATTGTATATTTATTTTACTACATAAATGCATGGCTCTACAGAAAATTCTTCCAATGAAACCAAATGTTTTCAACTAATTAATTAGTTTTCAACCAAATTTCTAACTAAACAATTTCACTGTGACTTATAAACTACCTCTGAACTGCCCTTGTATATCTCCACTCTGCCTGGCCATGTCAGACTCAGGCATTCTGGTGAATAGAAATTATCTTACAAAACAGCAAATTCCATTTTCAGGACACCTCTGAAAGTTAGAAAGTTCTTCATATGCTGAGCCAAAAGCTCAGTAATTTTTAGTCCTAATTCTGCCTTGTGGAACTACACAAAATACTTTCATTCAGTCTGAATTCTTTCTTACCTTTAGACGTTCGATGGCTTCTTCTCCTCCAGGTGTAGACATGATCCTCTCCTGAATACTGCTCACAGACGTTAAGCCCACCTGACTATTGAGTGAGCAGGAAGATGAAGATGATGTAAGGGACCCCATGGATGCTGTGGAAAAATTGCCAGGGCGTTGATTCTCAGAGGCTAGCAAGTACCTATGTTTATTGTTCTGAAAATCTTTCAGATCTGGGAGACAGAAGGAAAGGCAGAAAAAGTGGAAAAGAGGAAAAGGAACAGAGAAAGAAAAAAGACAGGAAGGAACACCCGTGTAAGAAAGGAAAGCATTAAAGTGCCAAGACAAAGACGTGTTACAATACAAAGACAAGCTGTAACTGTTCTAGATGGCAGTTCTAAAACATGTCTGTCTTTAACACTGGTATACTAAAGGTTAAGAACCAATTCTGAATTTAGAAACTAAAAAATTGCAACATGGGTTAATGTTGTATCTGGTAGGGCCTCAAAGGGTAATGCTTAGGCATTCTCCCTCAATGGCCTAGTTACGTTCCTTCTGTTCCTTCTGTGGCTCCAGATTACAATGCCTTAGATTTACACTACTCTTAAATCCCAATAGTCTGCCCCAGTTAGGGAAAAAAGATGATCACTTATTTATCAATAATAATACATATCAGCCTGGCTCAGTGTTTTATAGCATTCAGCAAAAATTCCCCCAAAATGTTAGTGTAAAACAAAAACCTGAGCACTTAGAAGTATCCTTTGTTTAGCAACATATCAATATGCTAAAAAGAATTTTGTAAATAACCTTTTCTTTAAAAAAAAAAAAAAAAAAAAAGGAGAGGTAATTGCAGAAATGACAGGAATTTTGTGTAAGTCCTGGTTAAGAACTTTGGGCTGATTGCTGACCTCAGCAGGGAAGAACAATTAGCTAATTAATGAATCTGGTGTAGTTTACATTCATCTACTAGAGCACACAAAATTTAAGGCTAAGTATCTGCTTAGTAAGGCTCTCACTTTTCCTAACAGTATAACCATGAGTCATTGGTAAGCCAAGTTCCTAGTATGAAATACAAGTTTTAGAGACATACTTCAATTTACTAAGGTCTTCAATAGAGCTGTAGATTTTGCTTTTAAACTTAGTTTTGGCAAACGAGCCATAAACAACAAAATTCAATAATTTGCTGTTTGTACTTTTCTTCACTAATCATCCTTTTCAAATAGACACCAGAGAAAAACCATAGGTACTGGTGCATCCCTATTTTAAAATTAGCTCATTTTTAAATTTAAGAAAATCTACATTGCTTAAAATTCATATCAAAACTAAGTTTTCCTTAAAGACTATGAGTCAATACAAAGAGTCAGAAAAAATATTATAAGTCCTCTCTAGCCTATTCAGTTCTTGAAGCCCCTTAAAACTAGTGGTTGCTTCAAGACAGTTTGAAAACCACCATCTGCAAATACAGAACATAGGAAAACAAGCAAATTTTAAAAGGAAGGTAAGAACTAGAGCAAAAAAATTAGCCATCAAGTGATGACAGCAAGGAGGGAAGGAATAGGAAGGATGAAGTTAGAAGGTCCAACTGACACATGCAGGCCCTTCAAAGGAATCAAGAGTAGTAGATCAAAATGGAAATTTCGAAGTGGTCGGGCTGCTTTCCTGCACGATACAGAATTAAAACTGAAGTCATGCATGGCTTTCAGGGAGATGCCACAGCTGCTCAGGAAAGAGTGAGGCAACAAGCTGGCAGCAGCACCTCCTGGAGCACAAAAGCAGAAACAAGTGGTGTCTTTCCACCAGTGTGGTCAGCTGTGGAAATCTCAGACAGAGCCGTTCCCATCCAAAGTCACTCTGAATTAGCGTGTTTTAGTGTTTTCAAGGTCTAACTTCTTTACAGCAGCCAGGGCTACATTTGGCTTCCTCTATGTATTTTCTCACTCTCTGTCAAGCCAACAAATCAATAATTCCTTGATAAATTATCTTAAAAGGGTAAGAAATTATTTCCTTACCAACTTAGTATATATATGGAAAGATTAGTATGTGATCCTTTTTTAAATGTCCTCATTTTAAGCACAAATTTTACTCACATAAGTTTTTAAAATTTAATTTGTATTTCATGAAAAAGACAAATGAGCTTACTTAACTATCAAGTCAGCAAGCTGAGGCCCAAGATGTGAAGAAAGCCAACTTAGTGTAAGAACAGGTGAGTGCTAATCCAATATTCACAGAGCTGCTCATCACAGAGTCTCCACGATTGAAAGTGATTGTTTTAATTAATTACATATATATATACATACACTAAGGCTCAGATATACACACAGCTAAGTGAAAATAATTTTTCTATTAAATAATTAGGTCGGAAGGAGATCTCAAGAGCAAAAAATGTGTAATAATGATTAAAAGCTAGGGCTCTAAGTTACACTACTCAACCTAACCACACAGAAACCATGGGATCTCAATGGCCAACTAACAACTCCAGGTAGCAGTGTCCTCATTAGTAAAATTGGCATAATAAAAATTTTTGAGTTATTGACAGGATTAAATGAGATAATATATCCACGATATTAGAACAGGACCTGACACATTATAAACACTCAATAAATGTGAGCTGCTGTCATCACTATCATCATTCTATGACTCTGGATTCAGTTTAATCACATAAGTAGAAAAACTGGAGGGTAGAAGCAACATGAGATTCTTAAGCCTCTCGAGTTGATTCAAGACACAAACTGAAATTCAACAAAGACAGTTTTGCTAAATGTAGCAGGAAAAAACAGGATCATTTCTGAATCCACATACAGTATGCTCTGTCTGCGATTTCACTGTTAGAACTGCTGGCATGCAAAGCTCATTTTAAGACTAATCCAGCAGAGTTAGATCAGCAAATCAGAGTACTAGAAATGACCAATACATAAAATACACACATTTGCCTCCACTTCCAGAGTAATCATCGATCAATGGATCAACTGAAGGTAAGCAGGAGGGAAAATACAAGAAGGGTCAAAGTTCAGGTTCAGTAGTGACACAGAGAGGGAACAGAGCAGTATTTTGGCATTTGGGGAGATGAAAATATTAACACAGAATATATTACCATTTTACAAACTGTATTCATCTAAAACCAAGTGCTAGTCAGTAAGATAAACTAAACTAGAAAACCAGAAGAGGTCTTGAAAGTTAGAATTCCAAATAATATAATATTAATTTTACACTAAAAAACCCCCCACAAACATGCTGTATTAAGTAAAGCCAAATACTATTCTGTCTGAATAATCTAGTTAACTCACTTAAAAGAACTTTTGATTAGACATTATGCCTAATAAGACACAAGCAGATTCATTTTAAGCCAAATGAATTAGATTAAAATTAGATTCATTTTAAGACAACACTGTAAGACAATATTCTCTGGAAGTCTAATTCTTGAAATTCAGATGAACTGATTATTTCCCGTCATATGTTCATAGGGAGCAAGGTGGGGAGCATTCGCACCTATATCACTGCTATTACATTATTATAGAGAAACTCCTAACACAAAAATCAAAATTTCAAGTAATATTTGTACAAAGTAACTAGTTTCTCAGTGAGAATAAATTTTTCACTACTGATCTAAAATAGAAATCTAATGAAAATACAAGTAGTAATATATTCATGAAAAATTTATTTCATGAGTTCAAATGGATATCTTGGTGCATACTATATAAAAAAATTCTGAGATTATTTTCATTGTTTTTAAGAAGAAAAAAAACCTCTTTCCCTACCACTTAGCTTCATCAAGTTCCGTAAATCTAAATTTAAATAGAAGAGCCCTGAAGAGGAAAGGATTAAATTTTGTACTGATTCTTATTTCACTTACTATCAATGATATCTCCCAGTCCCTGAGCACGAAGAAGGTCCTTCAGTCGCGTCACCTCCTCCTTTAATTCACGGACAAGCTTGGCATTGGGGTCTTCATTGATAACAGCATTGCATTTAATTTGTTTTGCACGATCGGCATATCTAGATCCAAAGACACATTTTTGCCATTCCTCAGATGTTCCACTTCTCATAAGTAACATACCATTATTTTTAAAGCAAACAGCTTGAGTATTTATACATTTATGAGCCTTAATCATAACACATTTGTATAAAGTTTTTTGTGTGTGTGTATGTTTTTTTTCCCCTCTTGAACTCTCTCTTCAAAGTTCTTAACTTTCCCTTATGGTACTTGTTGACTACTGGTCTCGTGCCGCTATTTAGCCTTAGATGGAGTTTACCACCCGCTTTGGGCTGCATTCCCAAGCAACCCGACTCCAGAAGACCCAGCCCGGTGTGCCAGGGGCCACTACCAGCCTCACACCGTCCACAGGCTGGGCCTCAATCAGAAGGACTTGGGCTCCCCATTTGTATAAAGTTTTATAGTACCTTATATAAACATGAAAAAAAGGCTCAGTTGAATTTAAGTAATTTAATCAAGATCACAAAGGAAATAAATACCTGAGAAAGGACTCAAAACTGATTTGTCAGACTATGTAGTGTTCCTTTCATTATATCAAAAGTGTCTTTAATGAGAGAAGAGTAGATAGTTTGGGGTTAAAATAATGAAACCTATTCATATATAGAAATTACTAGTAAACATTCTGTCATTACTTTTTCTTAATGCTGCACGTAGTCATAATTGTAGTACTTGTTGCGACTTGAGCATTTCTATAATGACAAACACCAGAGGGGGCACTTCTTTCTATAAATATGAGAACTATAAAAAAAGTTCACTTATCTAAAAGTTATCCAAAAATCTTACCTGAACAATTTTAATACTTTTCATATGAAAATGTTTTTGCCTTTCCCAATGAAACTGAAAACCATAAACAGGTCAATTCTATTATAACAAGAATCTCTTTCCCTCCAATTTTCCCTATTATGAGAAGGCTGGATTGTTACCTACATAAATGACTAGCCATACAGCCTAAGAAAATGTATGGCCTGACAAAATGACTTAACATAGCAGTGTGTTCTACTTAGCTGCTGAGACCGAACTGGAGTACCTCAGAGTGCTCAAAGTTTCATCATAGTTGATATCTGCTGGGCTCAGAGCAGCAACCATTGCAGTACGAGAATTGCCACCTGAAAAGATGAATCATGATTATCTCAAAACATACATATTTTAGAAAAATTTTATTGAATGTGTCAGATCAGACAGCACAACCTCAGAGCCTAAGATTTAATTAAAAGTCAACAAATTTCTTGAATGTCCACAAGTGAGGCACTGTACTCAAAATCTTGGTGTCTGAATCTACTGCGTCCAGTTTTCCCCTTTCCACGCCAGTCAAGACCTCAGTCACGCCACCGAAGCCGCACTCAGCAACATAGGTCACTGGCGACGCGGAGAGCCGCACGAGCCCCTCAGCCTCTTCTTTCTAGCAGCAATGTTTGACACGGCTGCTCACGCCCTCCCTCTCATCAAGGAGGGAGAGGGGCTAAAGAAACAGGGAACGAAGGTCCTAGAACATCAGCGAGGATGAGTAAGGACTGGTAGCAGCTAATGATGTGCGCCTCAAAGGAGCATGGAGTTTTCAAAGAGGAAGAAGGAGCAATAGTGTGAAGTAGGTGCATAGTGAGGAAGACAACTACTCCACAGTTTATGTCCTGAAGTCAAGACCCAATTTAAATAGAGGTGTGGAAATCCAATCAGCTTAAATCAAAAAGATAATTACACACCAGTGATCAACATACCTAGATTTTCTCGAAGGAGCCACGTAAGCACAGAATCCCTGTAGGGAATAAAATCAGTTTTCTTCTTTTTCTTACTCTATTAAACAAAAAGAAATGGCTTTAGTGTTGTTAAAAAGGAAAAATTCACACGAAAGGCAAACTAGCCCTGGCTGGTTTTGCTCAATGGTTAAAACATCAGCCTGCAGACCAGAGAGTCCTGGGTTCAGTTCCCGCTAAGGGCACATACCTGGGTTGTGGTTTGTCCCTGGCACAGGCTGGGGTTGTGTGGGTGGCAACCAGTCGATGTGTCTCTCACATCGATGTTTCTCTCTCTCCCTTCCACCTCTCTCCCTCCTGCTCTATCTGAAGATAAATGCATAAATGTCCTTGGGTGAAGATAAAAAACAACAAAACAGGTAAACTAGCCTAAAATTCCCAAGTAAATTAAATTACACTGGAACCCTCACTATAGAAATTTAATACTCACAGCTTCAATTCTTCACAATACCCAAAGCTCATGCAATAAAGTAGTTGTTTCTTTTTATATTTTATTTTGAAATATTTCTTAACATATACAACAGTTTCCCAGGGGTGAGGAATGTCCGGCCTACTGCCGTCAAAATCAATACCACACTAACATAACACGCCTCACCAAATCAGCCTGACCAAACATAGCAGGCTAATTTTTAAGTTGGTAATTTTGTATGGCCTGAGAATGATGTTATATATATACAAATGGCTCTCAGCAGAAAAAAGGTTCCCCACTCTTGGTTGTATGATGAGCTACCATATATCTATCATGCAGCTCCAACCATTTTCAATATTTTGCCAATCATGTTTAATTATCCCTCAAGCACTTTTCTATACTTTTCATTCCTAAACCATTTTGGAATAAATTGCAGAAATCATGCCCTTTGAATGCCTAAACCCTTAGCAGATAAGGATAGTCTCTTACCCACAGTTCAAAGACCAAATAAAGGAAATTTAACATCAACATAATACTCTCTAATATCCTGTCCATGTCATGTCTTTTTTTTAATTGTTGTTAAACCCAAGGATATTTTTTCCATTAATTTTTAGAGGGTGGAAGAGAAGGAGGAAGGGGGAAAAAGAAAGATAAAGAGAAACACTAATATGAGAGAGACGCATCAATTGGCTGCTTCCTACATTCACCCTGACCAGGACCGAGGCTCAAACCTGCAATCCAGGTATGTGCTTTGACTGGGAATCAAACCCACGACCATAGGCCAATGCTCTAGCCATTGAGCCAAACCGGCCAGGGCCTTGTCATATCTTTTATGGCTGGTAGTGCTTTAAAACAAATCCACATTTCACCTATGAATACTTCAGGTACATATCTGTAACAGAGGACTTTTAAAAAACGTGCCCTGGCGGGTTTGGTTCAGCGGTTAGAGCGTCGGCCTGCGGTACAGAGAGACCCGGGTTCGGTTCCCGCTAAGGGCATGTACCTCGGTTGCAGTTTGTCCCCGGCCCTGGTTGGTCGTGCGGGTGGCAACCACTCGATGTGTCCCTTCACGTCGATGCCCCCCCCCCCCCCCCCCCGTCTGAACAAAAAATGCAAAAATGTCCTCGGGTGAGGATTAAAAAAAATAAATAAAAAAAAATAAAAAAAAATAAAAAACGTAACTGCATGACCATTATATACTTAACAAAATTAACAGTAATTTCTTAATATCATCTAATACCCAATCCTCAAACAATAATTTTTACTTTTACAGAGGGGAAAATATGACTCCTGTACATTCCAGGCCGGATGTGTAGGAAGGAGCGAGTCATTCAGTCAATGCATTTACTTGACCAACCACCAAATAATCAAGTGGGTTGTTACATATCTAGTACTCTTGTAAAGAAATACACATTTGGATTCTTTGAGTGAAAATTATGACCAAAATAAATCCAACCATTAGAGTTAGAGTAGAAGGTCTAAGAAAATGATATAATTTGCTAATCTGGAGATTTGTAAAGACTGAAAAATGCATTTTCTATATATATTAAAAATTTACTTATATTGCTCTCTTTGTAACATTTCTCATTTTCACAGAATAAAGCAAAAAACTCTACTACAAAGCCAATGCTGCAATGGAGAAGCTATATCCTTTGAAAGTAAAATCTTTTGCAGATAAGAGCTGCTCTAGTATCTTCTGTCTGACTAACGTGTTGTGATAAGTTAAGAAGCTATTAAGGAAAAAGCCAGAGTTCACCGATAGACATTTCCCCAGCAACTGGCAGTTTTATAATCCATTCCTGGTATAATCTGAGTTTAAATTATACTAAGGATGATCTAGTTCTTGCAAAAGCACAGGTATGCAGAAAAGGAATACTAAGCAGCTAACCTCTGGTTTGTTGAGGAGGAAAGGAAGTAGGCAGGCAGCACTTTAGCTTCACTTCTTATCAAAAATATCCCCTCCATCTCATCCCACTCTACCCACAGACACAAATTCCAACATTAGAAAGTCATTTCCAATAGCAGGTTCTGTATTACACAGGCCTGAACTCACTCGGTCATTTACAACCTAGTGGAACTTTCACTCCACTACAAAATCCTTGAGGCGCAAGACCTCAGTTAATCCTTATTTAGTTCCCCACTCACTCCACTTTGCCTATGGTTAGTACTGAAAATGCTGCAATATGTAAAGTAAGGTAGTTACAATGACTGCAAACAATACTCTAAAAATAAGAGTGTGAGTTTGCCAAAAACATTCTCTTTCCATGTCTGTCAATTAGACTAAATTAAGGGGTAGCTAAATGAATATGCATACATAAAACTACAATGTTTTTCTTTGTGCAAATACCCTGGAATTTTAGCCATTTCTTTTCTACTTTCTCTCTTATACAGATGAATCTCATCTGTCTCATATCCGTAATTTAAAAAAATAAGTGCTTTAGTAGTTACATTAAAAAAAATTATTTACACCAATAACCTCTCTAAAATGAAATATTAAGTTTAAAGAGTAATAATCCTGTTTCTCTCCCCAGTGGAAATAACAATCTTAATTCACTAAAAATTATGCTTGTTACATAAAAACTAAAATGTATTTCCAGTCTGTTACAGTTATAAGATAAATGCAAAATACAAAACTGTGTTTTACAAAACTGATTATAAAACTCATTTGCAAATTACTGTTGCACAGAGCAATGTGGGAAATATACAGGCAAACTTCTCCTCGGTTTGACACAGATGTTAATCGATAAGCAAATGAACAGGGCAAGTTGGAATAATCAATAAGTTTTAACAGTCTTCATGGTTCTGGGACTCATATTAAATATTTGAAAAATACCCTTAAATGTACATCAAATAGCAGATTTTTAATCTAAGGCAGCTTTTTCTAATAGCAGAGAAAAACAGAAAAGGGGTATTACTTTTTATTTATTAAGTTATTTTCTGCAGAAATAGAGAATAATGTTTGAAAATATGAACATAAAATATTTCACCACAGTTGCTTCTATCCCCAGTGTTACTCTGTAATTCAGAACAAACCGTTAGGTGATCTATTATTTATGCAAAACAGCACTAATAAGTTTTAGAGTATTTCTACAGAACTATAAGGAAAGGAAAAATCTATTGTATTTGGATTGAAAAGGATGCAAATAGCCCTGGCTGGTTTGGCTCAGCGGTTAGAGCATCGGCCTGCGGTCCGGAGAGACCCGGGTTCGGTTCCCGCTAAGGGCATGTGCCTCGGTTGCAGTTTGTCCCCGGCCCTGGTTGGTCGTGTGGGTGGCAGCCACTCGATGTGTCCCTTTCACATCGATGTTTCTCTCTCTCTCTCTCTCTCCCTCTCTCTCCCTCCCACTCTATCTGTGCAAAAAATGGAAAAATGTCCTCAGGTGAGGATAAAAAAAAAAAAGAAAAAAAAAGGATGCAAAATATGTTTTCTAGATGCAGTTAGAATTTTAACTTGATTCTATAGCCTGTACTTCATGGATAACTAGAAAAAAAACAAAAACATTTAACCATTTAAATAACCTGTGACTTTTCATCGTAGGAAACAAGTAAATATAATACAAAGAGGTTTAAGAAAAATACCCTAATAATTTCAAGAAGCCAGCTATTTTTTAGAACGGTACCCTTAAGAAATTTCTTTTATTGTCCATTTGAGAAGTTCATAGACTTCCTCAAGAGACAGCCCTTTAGATCACTAGAAGAGATATTGTAAGATAACACAATGTAAAAGCTTCCTCAATTTTTTTCCCTTTATTCTGAATTCTTTCTCCAAAGCACATCATATTCCCTAAATTAATTTTGCTATTAAGTCTCATGATTCATGGTCACTCCAAACAGCAATTCTAAATTCCAGAGCCAGAAAATGACAAAAATGTTTTTGAAGGTTCCATTCCTACTTATGTGCCATGCACCCTGCTAAGGATATAAAATCATCACACCTGATTCTACAGCTAGTTCATTTTTATCAATCTCCACCATACCTTGCTGGTGCAGTTATCCTACAGATGAAAGCATTTCAAAGAGAGAATGAGAACACAGGATAAGCCTCCACACAGAAAATAGTGTAATTTTATAGTTCTAAATTGAATATGACTTCTCAGAGATGAGCAAAAAAAGAATTTAATTATTTTTAAGGATTCAAATAAGGTACTAAACTAAATTAGAACACATATGACTAACATTTGCTTAGCTTCTAACGTAAGTAATGAAGCACTTTGTAAGAGAATTGTTTCAGCTTTAGTGTTCCACTGTTAAGGAATAAGAAAGAATCGACTCTTTTAAAATACATTATTGGCCCCCAAATCAATAGCATTTAACAAGGCAAACTGTTCAAAATACTCCAAAAAAGTACTGCATCCTACTTAGAAAGGATTGTATAGAAAAAGAATATACAATAAATACTTGTGGTTTTTATGAAAGATATGAAATAAGGCTAAAAAAGAGTCAACTGTTAGGTCTTTGTAAAGACCTAGTCCTTAACACTATCTTATACACATCTATGTGTACTTTCATTCTCCTTAATCTCTTTTACTTTTAGTACAAAGTTTATTATACCTTGTATCTTATCAAAAAGCTCTATAAGAAGAAAGGTAAGACCACATAAGAGGGCCAAAAATGGACAGCTGTCATAAATAATCATAAAATATCTGACAAGTACATTGCTGAACAGACAAATTTTCCCTTACAATAAAGTATAATACTTACCACCTCTGCCAAGGCTGAAATGACTTTGCCCAGAGTTGTAAGAGACTTATTAATATTTGCGCCTTCCTGAAATCAATTACAAACATGACAGAATTAAGAATTTCTACTATTGTCACATGATATATAATAGACGAAATACAAATTAGACATATGCTACCATTATGAGCTTATTTATGACAACAAATTCAAAAAACCTCCTTTAATTCTCAATCTTCCCTCCTCTCTACTTGATAACATGCCAGGACCACAAGCCTAACGCAAAGTTCTAAAGTATCTTTGAGATGATTATGCTCCAAAAACTTTCAGATGCAGCCTTCTTCCCACAGTTCACCAACATGAATTTCTGCTCTTATCAAGTAGATCTCTAGGAGTCCATACTTGTTCTCACATCTGGATTTCGTGTATCCTCTTTCCATTACAGTCCCTTCCTTTCATCTAGCCAGTCTGTCTGTTCCTCAAAATACAATTAAACTCTCACCTGGACCATGAAGCCCTCCTTAATTATTATGTTATATAACTTAACCTTTCTTAGAAATTATAGATCAGAAGTCAGCAAAATTTTTCTGTAAAGGTTTTGTGGTCTCTGTCGCAACTTCTCAACCCTACCATTGTAGCATAAGAGCAGCCACAGATAATAAATAGATATAGCTGTGTCCCAGCAAAATTGTACTTATAAAAACAGGCAGTGGGCCAGATATGGCCTACTGGCCACAGTTGGTTGACCTGTGTTATAGAACAATTATTGACGAAGCCATTTGTTTGGCAAAATAAATACCTTTAATCGAGTCCCTTTGGCACCAGTTGAATCAGCTCGTTCGCTTCCTGCTAGATCCACCAAGCTGATTTTACTGACCTGGTAAAGAACAATAACATTAGGACAATTCAAAAATAAGCACGGTAGAAGCAGAAACCATTAAGAGGCAGAAAATTGAAAGATTAAGACATGGAGAAGACTAAAAAATATTGATTAGGACTCATATGACATAATACAAAGTAAACATATACTTTTTGTCAATTTAAAGAGCACACACAAAGATCACAACAATTATCTTTGTTCAAAAGATGTAATTTTAGGATAAACATATTTTACATAATGATATGTCATTAAATATGTAAAACTCTGTAGCAACAGTATGAGCCCTGGCCGGTTTGGCTCAGCGGTTAGAGCGTCGGCCTGCGGTCCTGAGAGACCCAGGTTCGGTTCCCGCTAAGGGCATGTACCTCAGTTGCAGTTTGTTCCTGGCCCTGGTTGGTCGTGCGGGTGGCAGCCACTCGATGTGTCCCTTTCACATCGATGTTTCTCTCTCTCTTCCTCTCTCCCCATCCCACTCTACCTGAACAAAGAATAGAAAAATGTCCTCAGGTGAGGATAAAAAAAAAAAAAGAAAAGAAAAACAGTATGAAAGTTCCTCAAAATATTAAAAATAAAACTACCAACTACCGTATGATCCAGAAATTCCAGTTCTGGATATTTATCCAAAAAAATTTAAACACTCAAAAACATACGCAACCCTAATATTCATTGCACCATTATTTACAATAGCCAAGATAGGAAATAACCTAAGTATCTATTGATGGATGAATAAAGAAAATGGGGTACATACATAAAAGGGTATATTATGAAGTCATTAAAAAAAAAAATCTTTCCATTTGTAACAACATGGATGAACCCCAGTGGCATTATGTTAAGTAACTTGGACAGAGAAAGAGAAATACCACATGATCTCACTTATATTTGAAATCTTGAAAAAAGAGCTCACAGATACAGAGAACAGACAGGTGAGTGCCAGAAGCAAGGAGTTGGGGGATGGGGTAGAGTAGGTAAAATGGGCTAAGGGAGTCAAAAGGTACAAACTTCCAGTTACAAAATAAGTACGTTATGGGATGTAATAGTATAGTGACTACAATTAATAATACTGTTTTGCATGTTTGAAAGTTGCTAAAGTAAATCTACAAGTTCTCAGCACAAGAAACAAATTCTTTAGCTATATATAGTGAAGGACGTTAATTAGACTTATTGTGGTGATCATTTTGCTGGGTGCCTCAGTTGGTTGGAGTGTCATGCTGTGATCCAAAAGATGGGGTTTGGATTCATGGTCACAGCACATCTATGTTTCAGGTTTGATCCCCAGTTGGGTGCATATGGGAAGCAACCAATCCATGTTTCTCACATCAATGTTTCTTTCTCTCCCCCTTCCTCTCTCTCTAAATCAATTAAAAAATATATATATCCTCAGATAAGTATTAAAATAAATAAATAAATATGTAAATATTTAAAAATGAATCTTCCAGAAACTGGAACTCTCAAAAACTGATGGTGAGAATATAAAATTATATTGTTTCATTATATCATTTCATAATGAAAATTGGAAAACAGTTTGGCAGATTCTTTTTTTTTTTCCCCTCACCCGAGGACATTTTTTTTGCCTTTATCTTCCCATAGATGTGAAAAAGACACATCAAGTTGTTGCCACCCACACAACCCCAGGGCCGGGGACAAACTGCGACCAAGGCACGTGCCCTTAGTGGAAACTGAACCCGGGACTCCCTGATCTGCAGGCTGACGCTCTAACTGCTGAGCAAAACTGGCCAGGGCCAGTTTGGCAGATTCTTAAAAAGTTCAACATACACCTTCCATAACACTCAACCATCCTACTCCTAGGTATTAATCAAGAGAAACAAAAACAAATATCCACACAAAGATTTGTACACAAATGTTCATAGCATCTTCATTTGTAAGATCAAAAAGTGGATATAATTTAAATGCCCATCAACAGATGAATTAATATCATCTATACAATAGAATACTCATCAATATGAAAATGAATAAACTACTGATACACACAACAACATAGCTGAATCTCAAAATCTTTATACTAAGCAATGAGGTCAGACAAAAAATAGTATACTATATTATTCCATTTACATAAAATCCTGAAAAATGTAAATTGATCTATAGTGACAGAAAGTAGATCAGTGATTACCTGAGGATGGGGGTGGAAGAAGGAATATAGTTGAATTACGAAGGGGCATGAGGCAACTTTGCAGGCTACTAGAAATGCTGGTTATCTGGTTGTAGTATTGCTTTCACAGGTGTATACATATGTGATCCAGATTTATACTTGAAATATGTGGTTTATTGTATTTAAATAATACCTCAATAAAGCTGTTAAAAAATGCTTCAGGAAAGTTTAGACAAAAGTATCTAAAATGAATTATGATGGAAGCTATGGTTATGGGATTAACATTACTATTTTTGTAGATTGGACATCATAGGAAAAGAAAATGCTTCCACATAAGACGTTCCTTGGTGCCATTCAGAGGAATACTGACTGCTACATAGCATTAATACTGTAACCTCTGGCTAAGCAGTGTCAAGTTATTTGATCACCTATATTAAAGAGTATACTTTAAAAAATAATTTTCAGCTAAAGAAAAAAATAAGTCACCAAGTAAAAGGTAATTCTAGTTTTTAGTGATATTGGTATCATAAAGTACTAATTTTATAAGCAAAGGATCTTTTATAACTACCAGTACAATAAATCTAACTTCAGATTTAAAAATCCAGCTGTATGCTACTTAGGAATACAGGCAGAGTAGAATTCAACATAAATGAATTATTAACAATAATGACAATAAAATTAACATTTATTAAGTGGTGACTCTGTGCCAAGCACAATTATATGCACTTAATCTATAATATTACTTAATCCTCTTTATAATCCTATGAGGTTGGGAAAACTGAGGCATAAAGAGGTTAAGTAACTTGCCCAAGGTAACACTGCTAAAAAGCAGCAGAGCCAGAATCTAAAGCAAGCATTTTAATTCCAAAGTCTATATATTTATGTCATCACTGTAGAAAATGAGAAATAAACAAGCAAAGATATTTGAAGAATATCAGAACTGCTGTACAGTTTTTTCCTTTCCAAGAATAAAATACATCTCATCTGCTCCATGGTATGCTTAAACACTTAATCCCAAGTAACATTATCAGAGCTTAAAAAAATAAAATACACAGACCAAAGAAGCTAATAAGATAATTACTGAGTTTCCAGTCAGGAAGAAGAAAAGGAAGGATTTCCTTTCCACAGAACTGCTTAATTAACTCTCTTGCATAGAGAAGTTTTCGAGAGCAAAAGTCTTGGATTGTTTTTTCTTAACCCTATTTTCTCTTTTGCAATTTCACTTAGGAACCCATACTCAAAACTGGTTTACAGAGGAATAAAAATGATAAGCAGAAGTTATAAAATACCCTCCATGAAATAAAAATCCCTTCCACAAAATGCAGAGGCTAGCAAGAGGGACTTCTGAAAATCCCAATTCAACACAAGTCAAGCCCAGAAACTGAAGTTCTCCTACCTTCTCAGTGGAAAGGTTGGTCTCAGTATCATGTTTCTTCTGGGTGAAAACAATTGTAAACACAGCGTGGGAACGGCTACTTGTTTCATTCATGTTGGTAGCTGCCACTGTCCTAAATAAACATAAAGGTGACCATGTGACTATGGAATTCTTAAATGAAAGTTAAAAGAGACAGCAGGCTCCACATTACAGGCATAACAATCACAAGCAACAACTTTAATTCACAGATTGCAAGACCGTCTCAAAAACTATTCTCTATACACTTTGTTTATGAGCCTGTCAAGTTACCCTCCAACTCCAAAGGTACCTCCTCAGAATTATTTTTCATACTCCAGCTGTCCCTTTGGAAACCACTGAGGCATTTAATTTTCATTCTTTTTAGGCGTTCATTTATTCCAGAATCAATTACTACCATAGGCATGTGATAAGCAACATTTTAGCAGGACTTGACCAAAACCTAGTAGAAAAACTCAACCAAAACTCTATTGTGTCTCAGCAGTACATTGTTTTGATAGGAAGATAGATACTGAATGTGCTGAAGCCCTCATTTCTCCAGCACAGCCAAAGGATAAGCGGACTCTACACAGCAACTGTTCTATCTACAAAGGGCCTCAAATGTGCCAAAGACCTCAGTCATTTGTCTATTTCCTATCATACCTGGCTTTGTTCCCAGCATCCATGAGGTCAGCAATGTCTGTGTAGGAAGTGACTGCCAACTTTGACAGATCCTCCACATATGGGCCAAGAAGTGGGTGTTCACGTACACGCAAATTACCCTTGTTTTTTGGATTCAGTAAATCTCGTACTCTTTCACAGTAAATTTCCATATAGCTCACCTAGAAACAAAGTATTAGTGAATGAAAACTTAGGGCGAAAATCCTCTACATTAAAAAGATTTTTTTAAAACTTTTATTAAAAACTCTATAATTAGAGATCAGCAACCTTTACTAAGTGAAATGCCATAGTCCCAGTCCCCTTTACTCTATTAACAGTATGCTCATATATCACTGAGTAGGTTACAACCAGCCTTCTGACTTTCTCAGGAAGGAAAAAGAGGTAAACAGGCTATCTAGCACACAGTGGCTACCTGTTCTAGCAGAAGAAAAATCATTTTCAGTAGCAACTTATCAGTTGTCAATATTTTTTAAAATATATGCTGTTCTCAATAATTGGGGATTACAGTGAGTTTACTCCAAAAGCTTGGAAACAAGATTTCTTTTTTTTTTCATCCTCACTGAGGACATTTTTCTATTTTTTGTTCAGATAGAGCAGGAGGGAGAGAGAGGAAGAGAGAGAGAGAGAGAAACATCGATGTGAAGGGACACATCGAGTGGCTGCCACCCGCACGACCAACCAGGGCCGGGGACAAACTGCAACCGAGGTACGTGCCCTTAGCGGGAACCGAACCCGGGTCTCTCTGTACCGCAGGCCGACGCTCTAACCGCTGAGCCAAATCGGCCAGGGCCAAGATTTCTTAATTAGTGTTAAAACCAAGGAACAGTATCAATAATCCAGAGCAGTTAAAGACAAAAGTGACCAGCGACTCTAATACTTTAAGACTGGCCACAGTGTGACTGATGATGGACAAAAACAGTATGTCTACCAGAAGTGGTAAGGGCTGGTCCGGCACAGGCAGGACCTATCCAAGCCTCAGAGTGGAAGAAGTCTCAGACAATATAATTCAGAAATTCTTGTCCTATCAGCAGGACCATTCCTACCTATCATGGAGATGAATGTGCTAAGTTATCATTTCTTCACCTGAAGCAATTAAACATTTGTCTAATCAACTCTTCTCCCTCAAATTCCACCCTCACCAAAAAACTACCAGCATTTCAACAGAGGTCTGCCCACAGGAAGATAATACACCATTCTTGTTCACATGAGTGTCCGGTCTGGGTAACAGTTATTCCTCATAGGAAAGTAACAAAACAATCTGTTGGTTTCTTAACATCAATCAAATGAGCTTCACTCAAGAGTCTGACTTTGAAGAATGATGGTTCTGATCCTGAGGTATCTGTAAGATCAGATTTCTAAGCAACAAGGCTCTGAACTGGGGTAAATTCACCACAGTAAGCCTAATTATGATGCTTCCCTAGGAATCAGGCACTTCTCTATCATTGAGCTACTCAAGCATACAATATAACTTCTATATTTTTCAACTTTAAATTTCTATCAACACATTTTTAGTGTATCTCAGATGGAACCTTATCTCTTTTTCTATTGCCTTTTTCTTTTATTCAGTCTCAGATCTGACTGTATTTTTACACTATATTTCAAAATTAGTTTTTTAAAAAATGAGAATGCTGAAAGATAAAATCACGATCTTTTAAGAGAGTAAAACAGGAGGACAACGGATAATCTTTCTAAAAGCCTGTCACCCTAGAAAGTGAGATGGTACCTGAATCATTCTCATGTATTTAAATTTGTACATACAATCCTGAATCCCAGGAAAATAATACATCTTCTTGGAAAACTTATCTCTTTTCACACAGGTATAAGGTTAAGAGGACCCAAAAAAACCTGGTCAAGGTTGATGTGCTCCATTACTTTTTCTCTAATGTGCAAATCCATCTACGTAATCACTATTGATTTTACTTCTGAATGAACCAACCATTATAGACTTGGCAGATTCAATTTATTAAGCACTAGGCATTTCCAGGTCTTTCTAGACACCTGACATACATCAGTTAATAAAGCAGACAAAGACCCCTGCACTAGTGAGCTTATGATGCTAGGAAGACTGAAAATAAACAACATAAAAAATAAGTAAAAATATAAAATAGGTTAGAATGTGGTAAGTACTACGGGGGGCGGGGGGGAGAAGAACAAGGCAAGAGAGATCAAGAATGCTGGGTGGAAGGCAAGTTGCAGTATTATATAAGGTGGTCGAGGTAAGCCTCATAGAGACAGTAAAATTTGAACAAAAGATCTGAAGGAGGTGAAAAACCTAGCCAAAAGATATCCAGGAAAAGAAAATTTCAAGCAGAAGAAAAAGTAAAGACCTGAAAGTAGGAACATTCCTGGTGTGTTCCAGAAACAGCAATATATGGTGTGGTTCCCATATATTTAAGGAAACACAGTATGAACTAGGGATCTATGCTGCACTCCAAATAAGTCTATGAACTGGGACTAGTATGAAAGAAAATGGCTCATTTGTTATTACCTACAAGCTCAAAAAATTCTGTCACATGATTCAAAACAGAAGTTACAGGGTAAGACAAGAAAATTCATTTTAACAAAAAATATTGTTAGAGCAGCACATTCCCCTTTTGGTGTAAAATGGTCATAATTATTTAAAGTTTATCAATTTATGCAACACTTTAAAGAAAAAAACCCAAAGCATTTAAGTAGATCATCTAGGAATTGTGTCAGCCCTAAAGATAATCAAATATAAACTTTTTTTTTTAAATAAAGAAAATTAGTTTTCTTTAAAAGCAACTTGATTTCTCAGAATAGGCTGTTAACTGAACATTATGTTATGATGTCAGATAGCAGCTTAGTTCCATCCTTTTGAAGGCAGCTTGCCAGTTTTCTGAACACCATTTACTGAAGACACTTTCCTTTCTCTGTTGTATGTTTTTGGCTCCTTTATTGAAAATTAATTGCCCATACATGTGTGGGGTCTAAACACTTTAAGATTATTAGTGACTATGAAATTAAATACCAAAAAATAAGGAAGGTGTAAAATAATAGCTTCATAAAGCACATACAAAAAAGTGAAAATATTTATCAAATAAAGTAATATATATCAAGTAATTCTATAAACCTCTTCTTAAAAGAGCTAGTGTATACAACAGATGGAGAAAAACTTTCCAAGATTATAAGCAATTATGAAGGGGGGAATTTGATTATATATGTTTGCGAAAACTTACGTCTGTCAAAAATCATGATTAATAATATTAAAGGAAAAGGTTTCACACAAATATATAAGAAAAACATTGCAGTTTCAACATGTAAATGGACACAGGCATCATTTACAAGATGTTCAACCTCACTAATATTCAAAGAAATTCAAATTTAAATAACAGTGAGAAATGTTCCCTTATCAAATTGGCAAAGATTAAAAACTGAAAATACTAAGTTTGCAAGGGCAGAATGAATGCTTATAGTTCCCTGATGGGGCTTCTTTCGGAAATTCAAATGCATTTTTTGACAACCAACATATATGCAAAGAAAATAAATTAAATTAATGCCAGAGTTAAAAATAAGGATTTAGCCCTGGCCTGTTTGGCTTAGCGGTTAGACCAGAGTCCCGGGTTCAATTCGAGCCAAGGGCATGTACAGCAGTTGCGGTTTGTCCCCAGCCCCGGTTGGGGTGGTGCGAGTGACAACCAATCGATGTGTCTCTCTTACATCGATGTCTGTCTGTCTGTCTGTCTCTCTCTCTCTCTCCCCCCTCCCTCCCACTCTGTCTGAAGATAAACGTAAAAATATCCTTGGGTGAGGATTTTAAAATATTAATAATAAATACGGATTTAATTGCAACATTTTTCTTTATAACCAAAACTTAGAAATAGCCTAAAAGTACAAAATTGGGGGAGTGGTTAAGTGATCTATAGCACAGTCATAACTTAGAGTCATTTAAAAGCAACGTTTGAGGCAATGGAGTATGGAGGCCTCTGGTTTTAACGCACAGTTGAACTCACCTCTACAGAGTAGGACATTTCTTCATTACAGTTGTCATTGATTTTCTCAAATAGTTCTTCACATAACTACAGAAACAGAATGAGAGAGACATGAATAGCATAAATCAGAGAAGCACTAAGCTATCCAGGACTGCTAAACAAATTAACATTATCCTCTTTTCCCTTTTTTGCCCTCAAAATTATATTCTTCTTATCTATATAGTCCCTGAACTGTAGCATCTCAACAATATTTCCTCGGAAAGAAAGACACATTTGGTCTGGCTGGTGTGGCTCAGTGGTTGAGTGTCAACCCATGCACCAAGAGGTCACTTGTTCAATTCCCAGTCAGGGCACATGCCCAGGTTGTAGGCCAACTCTCCCAGTGGGGTCATGCAGGAAGTGGTCAACTGATGTTCTCTCTCGTTGATATTTCTAACACTCTCTCCCTCTCCCTTCTTCTCTCTCTAAAATCAATAAAAAAAAAAAAGTTTTTTTTAAAAAAAGGGCACATTTAGAGGAAGGGTTCAGGAATCATGTCTCTTATAGTGTTATGTCAATGACATTTAATTTGTGTTGAATATGAATTCAACTCTTCATATTATATTATAGTAACTGGAACTCTACAGTATTATAGCAGTAAAACTACTATTCAACTATATTTTGCTCACACATTACTTACTATAAATTTTACTCTTATAAATTATCAGTTACTCTATTAATAGTATAAATTACATTATAAATTAATATACATTATAAATTTATACATACATACATATATAGAAAGAATACATACTATTTAGAGGGAGTAAATGAAGGTATTTTCAATAATCATTTTGACTCTATAAAACTTTCCCCTTTACCTCTGTCTTAAGATCCCAAATCTTTCATGAGCAGCTATTCCACTATACAGTGACATTTCTAACAAAAAACATTAATTTTCCTAGATGAGGAAAATTATAAAATTTCATTCACCCAAGCCCTTAAATTTATTTAAAATATTATATTTTTAAAAGAATAAAAATCTACTGAATTTTAATTTGCTATACATTTAGTATTAAGGCAATCGATACATATTTGGAAAACAAACTATTCATAATTTTCTAGAAGTCTAAATAAAATTTAAAATTTACTACAAATGGCAGTTCCTAAACAATAATCACCATTTTAAAAACCCATGCCTTTGTATTAAAATAAAATACTCCAAAATTCTACCAGAAAATACATGTAATTATATAAGAATCCCAGTAACGAACAAATTAAAGGAAAAAGAAGGAGAAACTAAGTGTGATAGTGGGATAAAATGAATATCACTATTTAGTATAACTTGGCATAATCTACAATTATTGTTTCCCAAGAAGTAATACATAAGAGCAAAAGCAGACTCCAGACTGCTTTTCCTGCATTTGGATTCTGGCTCTGCCCTTACTTAGGCAAGTTACACTGCCCTCTGTGCCTCCATTTCCACATCTGTAAAATGAGGGTAACAACAGCACCTACCTCTTAGGGTCACATGAGGAGAATTAGATGAGCTAGTATTTGTAAACCACTTGACCTGTGCTTGGCACATGGGGAGTGCTTCAGAATGTTTTCTCTAAATAAGCATTGTAGCCCTGGCCGGTTTGGCTCAGCGGTTAAAGCGTCCGCCTGCGGTCCGGAGAGACCCGGGTTTGGTTCCCGCTAAGGGCATGTACCTCGGTTGCAGTTTGTCCCCGGCCCTGGTTGGTCGTGCGGGTGGCAGCCACTCGATGTGTCCCTTTTACATTGATGTTTCCCTCTCTCTCTCTTCCTCTCCCTCCCTCCCACTCTGTCTGTCCAAAAAAAATGGAAAAATGTCCTCGGATGAGGATTAAAAAAAATAATAATAATAATAATAATAAATAAATAAGCATTGTAATTATTGCTATTACTATATGCAGAGAAGGAAAATCCCCAAATATACAGGATGGGGCAAAAGTAGTTTACAGTTGTAAGTATACAAAACAGTTTTTCCTTGTATTATTATTATTTTTTCTTTATTGATTTTAGAGGGAGAGGGAGAGAGAGAGAGAAACCTCGATGAGAGAGAACATAGACTGGCCACCTCCTGCATCCTACCCACTGGGGATTGGGCCCACAACCTGGGCATGTGTCAGGAATCAAACCGGTGACCTCTTGGTGGCATGGGTGGACGCTCAACCATTGAGCCACACTAGCCAGGCATTATTTATTAATTACTGCATTAATGTCCATACAAACTATTGTAAACCTACTTTTGCTCCACCCTGTATGTCTTAATACATGTATTATTAACAGAAAAAAACATATATATGCTATTATGTTCAATTTTTTCTAAAACTTTTCTAATCTTTGTTACTAATTAAGCATTCCAATTACATAGCTGAATTCAAAATTATAGTCCAGTAATCTACAAGAAAAAGTAGCTATTGCTCCCTTATGTATCTTATTCTCCAAATAATACAAAAATCAAAAGACTAACTCCTCTCAAAAAAAAAAAAAAATCGCAGACTGTTCAAGCTTACAGTGATAGAATTAAACTACTATAATAAAAGGAAAATATCTCTAAATAAGGTGATCAAAAACAGTAATAATCAGCCCTGGCCAGTTTGGCTCTGTGGTTGAGCGTCGGCCTGCGGACAGAGAGTCCTGGGTTCGGGTCCCACTAGGGGCACGTACCAGAAAGAAAGAAAAAAAGTAATAATCAGATTCTTCTTTTTTTAATATATTTTCATTGATTTTTTTTTTTTTAGAGAGAGATACAAACATCAATGTGAGAAACATCGATCGGCTGCCTCCAGCACACCCCCTAGTGGGGGTCAAGCTCACAACCTGGGCATGTGCCCTAACCAGGAATCGAACCAGGACCTCTCAGTCCATGGAACGACACTCCATCCAATGAGCCACACAAGCCAGGCAATAATCACATTCTTGCCTTGGCTAGTATAGCTTAGTGGTGAGAGCATCAGTCCACACACCAAAGGGTCTCAGGTTTGATTCCCAGTCAAGGGCACCTGGGTTGCAGGTTTGATCCCTGGCATCCATCAGGGCACATGCGAGAGGCAACCAACTGACGTGTCTCCCTCACATTAGTGTTTCTCTCTCTCTCTCTCTCTCTCTCTCTCTCTCTCTCTCTCTCTCAAAATCAAAAGAAAAATATCCTCAGGTAAGGATTAACAACAACAAAAATCAGATTCTTAAGAAGTGATCTATATATGGAACTTTAAAAAAAAATTAGGCCCTGGCCGGTTTGGCTCAGCGGTTGGAGCGTCGACCTGCGGTACAGAGAGACCCGGGTTCGGTTCCCGCTAAGGGCACGTACCTCGGTTGCAGTTTGTCCCCGGCCCTGGTTGGTCGTGCGGGTGGCAACCACTCAATGAGTCCCTTCACATCGATGTTTCTCTCTCTCTCTCTCTCTCTCCTTTCCGCTCTATCTGAACAAAAAAATGGAAACATGTCCTCGGGTGAGGATAAAAAAAAAAATTAGACCAACAACATTCATTAGGTGTCCCCAGGATTCCGAATAGAGCCTGTTACACACTATCTCTTTTTGAAGAAGCTGGTAACACTGTTCAAAAGATAACATAGCCCTGGCCAGTTTTGCTCAGCGGTTAGAGCGTTGGCCTGCGGTCTGGAGAGGCCCGGGTTCAGTTCCCGCTAAGGTCACGTCCCTCAGTTGCAGTTTGTCCCCGGCCCTGGTTGGTTATGCGGTTGGCAGCCACTTGATGTGTCCCTTTCACGTCGATGTTTCTCTCTCTCTCTCTTCCCCTCTCTCCCTCCCACTCTGTGAACAAAAAATGGAAAAGTGTCCTCGGGTGAGGATAAAAAAAAAAAGATAACATAAAAATTGGATACACAGCAAAACCTTTACAAAACACCAACTTTCCCACCTTTAAAGTAGACATGTATACATGTCAACCTCTTCCACTAGACTGTTAGCTCCTCTGAGGGAAAGAGGCAGGTAATTTATCTTTGTGCCTGGTATGATAGTCCCTGAATAAACATTTGCTAAGTAAAAATAATTGTTAAAGCCACTGAAGACTAAAAGTAACGAGGAACAGAGGATTTTCATTGTTTTTTTGTTTTTTTACCTGTGGAATGATGCCAGCCTGGCTTTCTTCTTGTTTACCCATCATTGTGTAAGATTTCCCAGCACCAGTCTGCCCATAGGCAAAAATACAGACATTATACCCCTCAAAGGCATGTAAGAGCATTTCCTTTCCAATGTCATTGTATACACGGTTTTGAGATGCAAAACAGGGATCTTCAGGCTGTAAAGATTAAAAGGTGAAATAAAGACATTTTATTCATATTATTTCCTATGCTCATTTGATTACTGCTATAATACGAGTGTTTCAAAGCAGAATAGTCACCTAAAATATATTATACATTTTTAAAGTTTCCCCTACACATTATTTTTCTCATTTCACACTCACTCTCACTCACACACACACACACACACACACATTTACTTGCAGACACACTATTAGAGCTATCCATTATCCAGGTCAGCCATACATAAAAATATTTACATGAAATTATCTAGCATGATTACATTTCATTTTCTATAACTTTACAAATATCACTCTTCCATTCATAGGGAGCTGCAAGAAGACTTTCTTAAGAGGAAATGAGACTAAAAGATCAAAGGTCAAGTCCACATATAAAAATACTTTTTGAACTGCTACAGGTAGTGCAGCTATATCTCAATAAATGCAGCTTTCAGTGAAGAATGTTCCAATCCCTTGCCTAGGCCTTCCCTTGCCAATTAGGCTTTGTAAATAGTTTAAATCATCTCCTATTCCAACATAAAAAGGGGGGAGGGGAAACAAAAGAATGCCTAACAAGGAGATGCAAAAGCAAACTCTAGTTTAGGAACAAGCCCTAGAAGCCACCGAGACTGAGGGTTCTATACTGAGTAAGGGCCCAACTCTCCATTTTCCTAGATGGTGATAACCCGTTTGCTTGTTGGACCTGCAGGCTCTTTTAAAACATGTTAAAACCCCCTTCAAAGCCAGCACAGTTCTCCTCTGAGGCACCACAAGTACACTCACCGAGGTGTGAGACCAGTAGGAGTAGTCGAAGCTGAAGGACTTTGGAGCTTCCTTTGGGTTCTTTGGGTTAACAATACCTAGAGGATGAGAATGTTTTGATTTTATAAGTCACTCAGTTACATGTTCTTTCATTCAACATGATGTTATATGGTAAATTCAAAACATCCAAATCAGTAAATTCATACCACTCAATCTAAATAGGGCAAACAAAAATAAAAATAATCACATTTTTAATAGGTGATCTACATACATAATTTGAAAAGAATCAGACCAATAACATTCATTAAGTGTCACCAGGATTCAGAACAGAGCCTGGTAGACAGTAGGTGCTCATTAAATATTTTATGACTGAACCCAAGGTAAGATAGCAGCCAAAATCTGAAAATAGGCTACATTACTATTTCAAGGTATTTCATAAGGTTTCAAATATTTCAACATATCAGAAATAAAAGTTAGAAAATTACTGAATTAATCTAACCACTATTTGAAACAAACTCTCTTTTAAAGTTCTTATCTACTTCAGGAAAGTTTTTGGTAATAAAACATTCATTGGTAAAACTGTCTTATTTCTGAAATCCATAGCTGATAACTAATCCCTAAGTTGTATGTGTGTACATTTGTGAATATGAGTGTATACAGTGGAATGACAGACCACTAAATCTTCTGTAGAATGTTATAAACAGCAAAATTACTTTTTGACTGAAAAGCATGAAGTCTCACTACCCATATTAACAGTGATTTCGCATGTGATTAATCCAGTCACAGTCCATTTCAGGGACTGACAACGCTGAGGCTTGGCTGCTTCCCCTTTTCTCATACACATAAAGCTTTGGCTCTTCATATTTCACGTGGAGTAGAATCCTTGTAACATGTGGTCGTGAAATCTCCTCAAAGACCAGACATCTAGATGAATCTACTTCTCTAAGGCTGGGCCACATCCCAGGGTATCAGTGAGATCAGGATTAAAAAATAAATCTGTCCAGAGCAGCTGCTGCTCAGGACACAAATAGCAACAGTTGCTACGGTGCTTAGTTCTCTCTTGCTGGATTCCGCTGGGTATGCCACACACTTACGTTCCAACCTCAAATGCTGAGAGTGTATTAATAAGGCTCATACTACACATAATCATATGACAAGGAGACATGGTTCTACAAAGAACATCTCCCCACACACAAATGGTAACCTAAGCAAAGAAGAATGTTTCCAAGCAAAAGGCAATACATGTAATATTTAAATAACAGCCAACATTCATGGAGCACTTACTCCAAGCTGTAAGTACTTTCTGTGTATTAACCTATTTAATCTCCCTCAACCACTCAATAAGGCAGATGTTAATTATCACCATTTCATAGAGGGACACCCATCATTTAAATGCTTATTTCCTACATGCAGCCACTGCCAGTAAGACATCTTTATGAATATGCACACAGATGTGTATGTGAATGCACATATATATAACTACCCCCTAAAATTATACCACATTGTTTAAAACTCCTTACCCATTTAAAACTAGGAACTTGAGGATTATAGGTCCTAAAACATGACAGACCACATACAAACTCCACCAAGAAAAAGGAAGTTAGTGCCCTGGCCGGTTTGGCTCAGCAGTTAGAGGATAGACCCTCGGACCAAAGAGTCTAGGGTTCGATTCTGGTCAAGGGCACATAGCCTGGTTGTTGTTCAGTCCCCAGTCCCAGTTGGGGTTGTACGGAAGGCAACCAGTCGATGTGTCTCTCACATAGATTTTCTCTCTCCCGCTCCCTCCCTCCTTCCCACTCTAGCTGAAGATAAATGGGAAAATATCCTCGGGTGAGGATTGAAAAAACAAAAAAGAAAAAAAGGAAGTTAGTGTCATACTGCATGAATCAGATTCCAGGTTTCAGTGGCTCAGCAATAAGGACAATGACAAGATGAGAGGTAGCATATGACTGCTGACAAAGTCTTCACCACTCAAAAACATGGTTAAAACAAACACTTCTAGAAAATGTGCTGTCACAAATCTTTTAAGCCATGTTTCATTCAGTCTTTTAGCTGCCTGCTCACTGGTGGTACCAATTCTGCCAAACAACTTAAGGAAGATCTAATTTTCATATCCTAGCCCTGTTTCCTTTTCCCTAGTAAAGAAAAAGAAAAACTACGTCAGTAATTTCCTTGATTTACATAAAATCCTTTTCCTCTTCCTCAATATTCTCCCAGATCTTTGAAACTTCTGAAACTAATAAAATTTCCTAGTTTCCAGCTTTGAAACCAAGCTCCTTTTAAACAAAACCCTTTAAAAAATTTTTTTTTCTTTATTGATTTTTAGAGAGAGAGAAAGGGAGAGGGAAAGAGAGATAGAAACATCAATGAAAGAAAACATCGACTGGCTGCCTCCTGCATGCCCCCTACTGGGAATCAGGCCCACAACCTGGGCATATGCCCTGATCAGGAATCGAAAGGGCAACCTCTTGGTGCACGGGTCGATGCTCAACCACTGAACCACACTGGCCAGGCAACAAAACCCCTTTTAAAAACATAAATAAGTCCTGCCCGGTTTGGCACAGCGGTTAGAGCGTCGACCTGCGGTCCCAAGAGACCCGGGTTTGGTTCCCACTAAGGGCATGTACCTCGGTTGCAGTTTGTCCCCGGCCCTGGGCCCTGGATGGGTCGTGCGGGTGGCAGCCAGTCGATGTGTCTCTTTCATGTTGATGTTTCTCTCTCTCTCCCTCCCACTCTATATGAACAAAAAATAAATAAATAAGTAAAACAAAATATAATTTTAAAGAGTTATTTACATAATAATTATGTCAAATAAGATTAAAGTTACTCATAATATTTAAAAATTTTAAATCCCTAAATGAAAAAAATATATATTTTTTATCCTCACCGGAGGACATTTTTGCATTTATCTTCAGATAGAGCGGAAAGGAGGGAGGGAGGCAGAGAGAGAGAAACATGAATGTGAGAGAGAGACATCAACCAGTTGCCACTCACACGGACCCCAATCGCGGCCAGGGACAAACTGCAACCAAGGTATGTGCCCTTAGTGGGAACCGAACCAGGGACTCTCTGGTCCACAGGCCGATGCTCTAACCGCTGAGCCAAACTGGCCAGGGCGAAAAATATTTTCTTTAAGACACCTTAGAACAATGCAAAATTCAATATTGTTATTACCTGTTTAAGGGGAAACTGTAAGCAGAAAGCCTCAGAAGGTATCAATAATTTCTGTGTTAGGTTGGGTTGTACTTATAAAGTTGTTTGTTTTATAGTGTTCTTTATATTTATATATACACATATTGTTTGTAATACATATTTCCTAATAAAAGATTTAAAAACCCCAAAACTCTGCAGATTAAAAAAAAAACTTATAAAAATAAAATATTGCCCTCAGCGGTTTGGCTCAGCGGTTAGAGTGTCGGCCCGCGGACTGGAGAGTCCCAGGTTCGGTTCCGCTAAGAGCATGTACCTCGGTTGCGGTTTGTCCCCAGGCCTGGTTGGGGCCGTGTGGGTGGTAAACACTCGATGTGTCTCTCTCATATCGATGTTTCTCTCTCTCTCTTCATCCTTCTCTCCCTCCTGTTCTATCTGAAGATACATGCAAAAATGTCCTCGAGTGAGGATAAAAAAATAAAAATAGAAATAAATAAATAGCCCTGGCCAGTTTGGCTCAGCAGTTAGAGCATCAGCCTGTGGTCCAGAGAGACCCAGGTTTAGTTCCTGCTAAGGGCATGTACCTCGGTTGCAGTTTGTCCCCGGCCCTGGTTGGTTGTGTGGGTGGCAGCCACTCGTGTCCCTTTCATGTCGATTTCTCTCTCTCTCTCTTCCTCTCTCTCCCTCCCACTCTCTCTGAACAAAAAATGGAAAAATGTCCTCGGGTGAGGATAAAAAATAATAAACAAACAAACAAACAAATAAATAAATAAAATTTTAATGACAGCACTTGAACTCACCAGAAACCCACTATTACTTCCATGCACAATAAATTAATGTTTTCAAATATGCCAAAGGAGTTTTCTTTCTGGATTAGTAAAGTCTGAGATCTAACCCACTTCCTTTAACCCAACTAAGAAATAGGATGCTTCTAACCATTAATTAAAAGGGGAAGGGGAAGACAGTACATTTAATAGAAAGGGTATAGGATTTGGACTCAAAAGACCAGCATCAGTACCTACATATTGGTTATCTTTTAACATTCTAAACATACAAAAAACAATTAAAAATATATTTAGACTCTTTTTGTGATCTTGGGTATTGTTTTACTTTTATGTCCTCTCAAAAACTGAGATAATATGTAGTTTACAGGATTAAATATGTCAAGCACTACTCAAAAGTTAATTTTCAAGAATAGGTATTTTTACCTTGTTTTTTTTTTCTCCTAAATGAGTTTAAATGCAATTTATTTTTAGATAACCTACATGTTATATTTTTCTTTAAAACAATGCCTCTGCTCCAAATATGTCAAAGTCAAAATACAGAACTCCAGATAACATCAGTCCCATTGTTCTAGTCCTCCAGTGCAGATGAAAAGCAGCAGCCAGGTGCTCATTTCGGCAGCACATATACTAACATTGGAACAATACAGAGATTAAAGGTCTCTGCATACGGATGACACACAAATTCATGCAGTATTCCATTTATTTTTTTTAAATGCTCGCCTGAGGATATTTTTCCATTTATTTTCAGACAGAGGAGGAGGAAGTGAGAGGGAGAGAGAGAGAGAGAGAAATATGGATGCGAAAGAGACACATGGACTGGTTGCCTCCCGCTCTAATAGCTGAGCCAAATCAACCAGGGCAAGCATTCCTTCCCTTTTTTTTTTTTTATAAAGAAAGAAAAGAAAAGCAGCAGTCACTTATTATGACAGGTGATAGATACAAATTGCCAAATTTGTTAACATTTTTCCATTTCTAAGCCATCCTTAAAGAAAGTCATATATGGGTCACACCATCCACATGGTAGTCTAGCAGAGTAACCGTGCCATCTGGATTCATGTTTTCACCAATAAAGAACTGTTAGTTTTTGAAATTAGCAAGGATGTGCTTGATTTGTTCTACAGCCCATCATAAAAGGTTTTACTCTTTCATAAAAGGCTTTACTCTTTCTGGTCTCTGTTCAAGTTGCCTTTTGATTTCATAGAATCTTTGATGTTCTTCTCATAGACTTCTTTTGTGAAGCTGGTTTCCTGCAAATGATGCTTCATGACAATATCAACAGCAGTGACTACCGTGCTTTCAATACCTTTGCCCTCAATGTTACTTTACCCTCTATCCTACTGACCATCTTCCCCTCCACTTCCAGGCACAGCCCGCCTGTTATCTCCCAGATCTTGTAGATGTCAGAGGACACCTCATGGCCAATGAGGTCCCAGTACATAATCATGATGGTGGTGGCTGGAAGGAGATTGACAGAGGCGCTGGTTTAACATGAGCCCGGAGCTTGGAGCGAACAGTGCTCCAGGAAAAGGGAGAAGGTGAAAAAGCTATTTTATCTTGTTTTAAATTTTTTTGTTTGTTTGTTAATTCTCACCTGAGGATATTTTCCCATTGATTTTAGAGAGAGTGGAAAGGATGGAGGAAGGAAGGAGAGGGGAGCAGAGAGAGAGAGAGAGAGAGAGAAAGAGAAACATCTATGTGAGAGAGACAGACACATGGATACAAGAATCGGCTGCCTCCTACATATGCCCCAATCTGGGCCGGGAATCAAACCTGCAACCCAGGTATGTGGCCTTAACATGGAATCGAACCTGCAACCCTTTGGTCCACAGACCGATGCTCTAACCACTAAACCACAACAGCCAGAGCTATTTTATCTTGTTTTTAAATTCTCTCAATGTTTGGTAGATATAACCATATTCCATGGTCTTTAAACCAAAGTGAAAAAAGTTCACTAATTGATAAAATAATCTAAAGCACAATACAAGAATTCTGTTTCTTGGCAAGGGTTCAAGTACTACATCCACATTACAAACTCTTTCAGTACATGGACCATGTCTTGTGGATTGTCTATACTGCCCTATGCTGAACGGACACTCAAATGAATGTTTCACTTATGACTTTAATTTGATTACATTCTGTACCATTTTCAGTCCAGGCCAGTGCAATATATACATAAAATACCAGCAAATTTTGTCAACTTTCACAGAAACAATATAGAGAGAATTGTATTAATGAGTGACTATTGAAATACTGAGCAACATTAATGCAGTGGTTCTTGTATCAAAGTCAACTGAGCTAAAAATACAGTGTGTAGGACTTTCGTTTCTCAGAAAGCATGCACATAAAAATGGAATTACCACAGTACTTAATAAATATGTTCAATGTATAAACTGTAGTTTCACCAATATAAAATTATAAAAGCTGTTACAAATGTAGCATGTTTCCCAGGGTCATGTGTCATGAGTGTGTAGGCTTTGCCCAGAACATATTGAGGCAGGAAAGCTGGTATAGGGAACAAAGGCCTCAAGATCTACCCCTCCCCTTCTCTGTCTTGGCTGGAACATCACAGACACGACCTTTACTGACCACCTGTTACCCTGCTTCTCCCTCTGCAATTTCTTGTAATTGGGAGGACCAAAAGGAAATCCCTATCTCAAGAGACAAGACGAGAAAGAACCGCATCGGCAGTCACCCCACCAGTGTCAGAAGCAGAGGACCACCTTATACCCCCCTTGCCCACACTTAAAAAAACCTTCCACACTGGCCAGTTTGGCTCAGTGGTAGAGTGTCAGCCCTCAAACCAAAGAATCGCAGGTTCGATTCCAGTCAAGGGCACATCATACCTTGATTGCGTTTGGTCCCCGGCCCTGGTCAGGGTCGTGTGGGAGGCAACCAATTGATGTCTCTCTCTTACATCAATGTCTGTTTGTCTCTTTTTCTTCCTCCCTCCCTCCCTATCTGAAGATAAAAACTGGAAAAAGTATCCTGGGTGAAGATTAAAAAAACAAACAAAAAACCCACCCAGATCCAGACCCCATCGAATGGCATCTCATTCTCCAAGGTCACCTGCTCTCACTTCTCAAGTACATACTACTGCTTGAATACATTTACTGTATTTTGCTAAATCCCCGTCACACCTTTTCTTTTTATTAATCCTCATCCGAGGAGATTTTATCCATTGACTTCTACAGAGAGTAGAAGAGAGGGAGGGAGAAGGAGGGGTGAGGTTGGGGAAAGGAAGGAAAGGAGGGAGAGGGAAACAGAGAGAGAGAGAAAGAAATATCCATGTGAGAGAGACGCATAAACTGGTTGCCTCCTGCATGTGACCCGGGTGCTGGGGATCAAATCTGCAACGCAGGTACATGCCCTTGACTAGGAATTGAACCCAAGATACTTCGGTGCGAGAACCGACACTCTAAATACTGAGTCAGACGGGCCTGTCACACTTCTGAATCCTTTCTTTCTTTTTTTTATCCTCACCCAAGGACATATTTTTTTTTTTTTTTTTGCATTTATCTTCAAATAGAGGTGGAGGGAGAAACAAAGGAAGAGAGAGAGAAACATCAATGTGAGAAAGACACATCAACTGGTTGCCACCCACATGACCCCAACTGGGGCTGGGGACAAACTGCAACCGAGGTACATGCCCCTAGCAGGAACCAAATCTGGGTGTCTCTGGTCCTCAGGCCAATGCTCTAACCGCTGAGCCAAACCAGCCAGGGCTTGAACCCTTTTTTGTTCTGTGACAAGAACCTAGAAGGTTGAGGCCTCCCTTGGTTTCCCCATGTGCCACACTAGCATCAAAATGACCACGTTCCCTGCAAGGACAGACTTTTTGGAGACTGAGTTAGAACGTAACTCTCATTTTAACTATGTAGTTCATATTGCTTTATTTCCTATAAAATTACCTTTTCATGCCACTTTTCAAGGTCCCTTTTTAAAGTTTAAAAACTCCTCTGCACCTGAGGCTTCTTCTCCAATCAAAATTTCTCTGGACGCACCTTATACTCCAGACCTTAATTCACCTCCACAAGCAACTTTTCAAAGATGATCTCGGAATCATCTTTGACTTTTTTCTCTCATCCCCACATCTGATCTATCTTGTCAGCTCGCATTTCATATGTACCCAGAATCCCATGGCTTCTTACCATGACCATCATGACCACCCTAGGCTAAGCCATCATCTCTCTCACCTGGATGCCTGCAATACCTCCTGACTGGGTTCCCTGCCCCGGCACCCCAAGCCCTGGAACAGTCTAATTAGCACATTGCAAGCAGTGAGCTTTCTCAGATGTCCACATCATGCCTCTAGTGAAAAGCTTCCAATGGCTTCCCATCATACACCAAACAAAACCCCAGAAAGCTTTATAACTGTCCCATCTCCCACTCCCTCTCTGACCTCCTCTCCAAAGATTCACCCCTCACCCCAGTCCCACTGGCCTTTATACTAAAGACCCACTCTCATCTCAGGGACTCTGTATTTACTGCTCCACCAAGAATGCTGTTCTCCTAGATATCTGAATAGCCCACTCCCTAATTTCATATAGGTCAATATTCACACATCACCTATCACATGGCCCTTTCTGACCATCCTCTTATTTAAATTAGCACCCACTTCACTCTCCATCCTCTTACCCTGCTTTATTTTCTTCATCCTACTCATGACTACCTGACTTATTATATGAGTCACTGGAATGTAGGTTCCATGAATGAGGCCAGAACTTCTGTTTCATTCATTGCTATATCCCTAGCTCCCAGGACAGTGCCAGACACATGGTAGATAACAGACCAATTAATATGTTAGTTTTTTTTTTTCTTTATTGATTCTAGAGAGAGGAAGGGAGAGGGAGAAAGAGATAGAAACATCGATGAGAGAGAACACTGATTGCCTCCTGCATGCCCCCCACTGGGGATTGGGCCCACAACCTGGGCATGTGCCCTGACCAGGAATCGAACCAGCGACCCCCTAGTACATGGGCTGATGCTCAACCACTGAGCCACACCGGCCAAGCGAATATGTTAGTTTTATCGTTCCTTAAAGAGTATCACTTCTTTGTGGCTGGAAACCGTGACTCCTCTTTCTGTATCACTCACAGTGCTGACTTCATCACTAGGTGATGCTTACTTGTGAACCATAATGTAGCTTTCTCACCACTGAGTTTCTTATCCCTGAACAGCCACCTTATTCAGCTTCTGGCAAGAAACATTACACTCTGGGAGAGGAAGAATCTACATTCCAGTCTAGAGAACAGAAATACAACTTTCTTTAAAAAAATATGTTTTTATTGATTTTTTAGAGAGAGAGGAAGGGAGAGAGAGACACAAACATCGATGTGGGAGAGAAACATCGATCAGCTGCCTCCTGCATGCCCCCTGCTAGGGACTGAGCCCGTAACCCGGGCATGTGCCCTGACTAGGAATGGAACTGGGACCCAAACCGGGACCTCTCAGTCCATGGGACGAGGCTCAATCCACTAAGCCACACCAGCCAGGCTAGAAATACAACTTCTAGGAAACAGCAGTTATAGGTAAATAGGGAAGGAAGAAAGATGACCAGGTTTGAAATAGCACAGGCAAAGAAAGATGTGCTGATAGAAGTCACAAGGAAGAGCAAGAATGAAAGAAAATACAATAGAGGCAGGAGAGTGGAATAGATAAAGATCTTCCCCAGATCTTTTTTTTTTTTTTTATCCTCACCTGAGGAC